ATGGAAGACGAGTCCGATCAATACAGGGCAAAAGGGGCAAATGCTGAGCTTCATTAATGCACGGAGACACATTTTCCACATGGAAGAGAACGGCAACACTCAATACCTTCGTTTGGCAGAGTTTCCGTATGAAGCTCCGCTCCAAAGTTCATCCTCCAAGGCAAGCTCGATACCTGCCTTTCAGAAGCCGAAAGTCGCAAACTCAAAAAGATCAAATATCATCGAATCATTCGTCGAGCACTTGCAGTCTCTCCCGCATCAGGGGCATACTTGTGACATGCAAGAACTCGCAATGTTACCAGCATGGATGTCTGGAAGCCGTGGCTGCGGAAAGCTCAAGAAGTTTTTGGACGAAAGTCCTGAGCTTTTTGCCGTAACCCCACACAACCGATCATTTGCTGTGTCACTGGTGCAAAAAGGCAATCGTCTTTTGATGCCTTCTTACACAGACATCCCAAGTCAGCCCTGGGCTGCCGATTCGCCACCGGACATCAGTTTTGCACGGTCCCAGCGGCAACTACCAAAGCAGCCTGTCACAGCGCCCGAGGTGGTTCGTGCAGCTATCATCCGGTTCCTTAATGGCAAAGCCAACAGGGCATGCGATTTGGCAGAGCTTGCCGCACTTCCGCAGTGGTTGGAATGGACAGGGCGACCAAAGTTGAAAACATTCGTCAAAGATTTGGTCAGTATGGAAGCAATGAAGAAGGCTCGAATTGTCGTACGGTTGCGGCCATTTTACTTCACACAGCAGACTATCGCAGAAGATGCGGACAAAGATGTTTTCCCAATTGGTGGCATCGCCAGCTCCAGCAAGGATGTGACTGCGCAGGAGCTTCTGGCAGCCAGTTCACATGCAAGTGATTCAGTGGTTCGGGCGATGGGCAGCCATGAACCTCAGAGTGGTGGTGTGCTCCTCAGCGAGCCTCCTCCTTTCCCAAGGGGCGATGAGCGGGTGGGCCGAGAAGTAGGCGGGACAGTGATAGATTTGGCTAGCATTGACTCGGAATCAATGCTCGGTCAGATCCTTTGGGTGCAACCCTGGTCCATTCGATGGACCCATGACAAGTTGCAGCAGATGTTCACATGCGGGCGGCGCTTGAAGCATGTTGCTGACCAGCTCAGGGACAAATCGATTTCACCTGAGGTGCTGCCAATGATTGAGATCGTCTCGTACCACGGGAAGTGGTATTCACGAAATAACCGAAGGCTCTGGTGTTTCAAAGCAGCAGGCTTGAGTTCAATCCAGGCTCGGGTTGGACCAGTGGATGCTCATTTCCTGAAAGGCCTGACCACGGTAACTGATGGTTGGTCCGTGGATTTCTACCCTCCCTGCATCTGTAGCAAGTGCGGCATTGAGTTCCCGAACAAGAAGGGCGTGCAATGGCACGCATGCAAGGGCTTCATGCAGTACTCAGCACTGGATTGGGATGACCAGGCCTCTGAGGCCTCGGAGGCCTCGGATGGCTCTGAGATCGGAGACTATGGGGAGGACGGGTGCTGGTATTCAGATGCTGAGTGGTCTCAGCGCCTTGAGACAGATGAGTACTGGCAAAGTGACACTTGGGGTCGTGATCCCTTGTGGCGTGCAGCAGCCAGTGGAAATCACCAGCTTGCAAGCCGTTTGCTGGAAGCAGGGGCAGATGTTGACGCATGCGACTGCGAAGGTGTTTCGCCGCTGCTTGCGGCAGTGCGGAGAGGACAATGGTATGTTGCTGAATTGCTCCTCCAGTATGGCGCATATGAAGCTCCCTGGAAGTGGACAGCTCGGAAGGGCAAAAAATGGTCCAGTTGCAGAGCCACGAGATATGACAGGATTGTCGCAGCTGTGAGGTCTGGCCGGAGCATCTCTGGACGTGATTTGATCATCAAGTGCAAGCCGAAGTCTAAGGCAAAGTCCAAACCGAAGTCCAAGGCCAAAGCGAAGGCGAGTAAGGCTAAACATTAACAGACTGACGCATGTCTAGCCCTGAGCTCTTAAGGAGCCAAGGGCTGCACATAGGTTGGAAGGTGGTGCTCAGCGCTGTCTTGGCAGACTTGCACACCCAATGTGGATGCGCTAGCCGGCCTCAACATGTCTGCTGGCATAACAAAATCAATGCCTTGCGTCAGAGCGTGTTGAGTTGATGGCGGCCGGGAGCCATCCGTGTGGCAACGGAACTGACCAGCGGTGCGGGAAAATGTGGCTTAATAGGCCAGGTTAGCATCGTAGGCGGATTCCAAGGTTTGCAGGAAGCAACATCAGGCAGTGATTCTGCAACTGCAAGGAACAGGAAAGCATGGTTTCCATCCGCAAGCCTAAGGCTTTAAGCAAGTGAACCTGAAACAACCCCATTTCCCTGAGTCAAGACGGGAGGCCAATGCTCACAGAATCATGGCCAGGCGGGCTGCGCGGGTTGGGGCCGCCTTGTTTTAGTTTGGAGATGTTTGGTGGTTAGGTCTCCATTCTTGGATGCAGCGGATGCTCGGATAAGGTTTTTGCGGTCCTCTTCTAGCTACTTTGGCCATCTGCAGTGATACTGTTCAAATGCTTCCCCCACTACCGCTCCTTGTTTCTGCTATTTCTCAGACAAACTTGGCTTTCAATCCTCTGGGAAGTAAGCTTCCTTCTGTTAAACCCCTTAATTCAGAGACTGTGAGTTTGGGTAGCTTGGACGCTAGGAAGCTTCGGCTTCATGGACCGCTAGTACGACGTTGGCTATGACGACCACAGCCTGAAGGGCACAGTACATGTGAAGGAGGCTCGTTTGAACTGGAGCAGGAGTAGTAAGAATAGTAGCAATAGTGACGATAGCAGGCATAGCAAAAGTGGTATCAACAATAGCAACAGTGACAGTATGCATAGTACTAGTAACAAGAATGAGAGTATTGCAAGTGCCAGCAATAGGTAATGCATCTCCACAAGCCTGGATGCTCCGGTGACTGCAGTAGTCAATAGTCTTATGCTTTAGGGCCTGCCTCTAACAGTGAAACGACCCCCCCTTTGGACCGGATGTCCTGGCCTAATTCGGTTATGATTGGGAATGGTTTTGAACACTTACCCGTGCCAAGTGAACACATACTTTGCAGGGAAAGTGAACACTTAGCCTGGCCAGGTGAAGACTTATTTTGCTGGAAAAGTGAACACTTGTCCTGGCCCGGTGAACACTTATTGTGGTGGGAAAGTGAACACTATTCCTGGCCACCTGAACACTTATTTTCGTAGTAAAGTGAACACTTATCCTGGCCCGGTGAACACTTATTTTGCTGGGAAAGTGAGCACTTATCCTGGCCAGGTGAACACTGATTTTGGTAAGCAAGTGAAATCAAGTGAACACTTATCCTGGCCCGGTGAAAACTTATTTCGCTGGGAAAGTGAACACTTATCCTGGCCCGGTGAACGGTTATTTTGGTGGGAAAGTCAACCGGGCCAGGATAAGTGTTCACTGTCCCAGCAATAAGTGTTTACCATGCCAGGATAAGTGTGCACTTTCCCAGCAAAATAAGTGTTCACCGGGCCAGGATAACTGTTCACTTTCCCACCCAACTAAGTGTTCACCTGGCCAGGATAAGTGTTCACTTCCCAGCAAAATAAGTGTTCGCCGGGCCAGGATAAGTGTTCACATTCCCAGCAAAATAAGTGTTCACCGGGCCAGGATAAGTGTTCACGTTCCCAGCAACGTATGTGTTCACCAGGCCAGGGTAAGTGTTCACGTTCCCAGCAATACGTGTTCACCTGGCCAGGATAAGTGTTCGCTTTCCCAGAATAATAAGTGTGCACCGGGCCAGGATAAGAGTTCACGTTCCCACCAAAAAAAGTGTTCACCGGCCAGGATAAGTGTTCACTTCCCCAGCCAAATAAGTGTGCACGGGGCCAGAAATAAGTGTTCATTTTCCCACCAAATAAGTGTTCACCTGGCCAGGATAAGCGTTCACTTTCCCAGCAAAATAAGTGTTCACCGGGCCAGGATAAGTGTTCACGTTCCCAGCAGCATAAGTGTTCACCGGGCCAGGATAACGTGCACTTTCCCATCAAAATAAGTGTTCACCGGGCCAGGATAAGTGTTCACGTTCCCAGCAACATATGTGTTCACCGGACCAGGACAAGTGTTAACTTTCCCACCAAAATTCGTGTTCACCAGGCCAGGATAACTGTTTACTTTCCCAGCAAAACGTGTTCACCGGGCCAGGGGAGGTGCTCCTCCGCGATCGCCTCAAGGATTATCTGCGAAGCTTGTCCCTGCCAAGCCCCGGCGGACTGAAGCCTGCAACCAGAACCCGCGCCCAGGATGCTCTCTGTGGGTCAAGGAATGAGGATCCGCTGAGGCTGCCAATGAGTTCTGAGTGGCGTTCTGCAAGCACCATCTTGGCGGAGTGAACACAGACAGGCTAGGCACGGCTTATGTCTGGCACACGGCGTAGTAAGAGCTCGAAATTTTCTTGCCTTATCTGCAGGGGTTCGGCTTTGCCCAGATTTTCAAGATGCTCCAGTTGGAGTGATGTCATGTACATGCGGCGTGACTCCGGCACTCAGCTCAGCCGTTGCTGAGCTTGTCTGCGCATTTCGAAGGAAGAGACCAACTGCAAAACGAGTCGCCTTTAGGTTCGTAGATGACAGCTCGAGCCGAATGCTCTGCAGCATAGCGGAACCAGTGCAACAAGAGTTCGTTCCGGATGCTGAGTGAGAACGGCTTGCAAGCGACGACCATAAGTAGCTGGCTCTGGCGCAGCTTGCCGGCTTGCATGCTCATGATCGAGCAGTCGTATCTACAGCTGTACAACCAGCGCTGGCCATGAGCCAAATTGCAAATGAACAACATACTCAGCCACTGCACCATGCGGAAGAAGCATCAACCTTCAATGCCAACATGTTCTGATGATGCTGTGGCCGGACGTCGTCCACAAGTTCTCGGCGAAACTGTGCTCGAAGGGGAGGTGCCTTGCGCAGGAGGGCATGATGCATCGTAAGGGCTTTCTGGCCCTGCGCCCACCCCATGATGACCTTGTCATATGGTTGTTGAGGAATGCGAGCATTCTTGTTCGTCGACCTGCTGTTGGCGGCCGCCGTGTCCCACAACACCTCCGTGAGAGGCTTTGGACCCATTCGACGCCGACCTCAAACACGACAAAGCTTAGTACAGGGGCTTTGATAATTACCTACACGATTGTGGGGTTCCGTATGATAAGTATGATTTCATATACCCCAGAACCCTACTCTACTTGTTGAGGCCCCTTTGTTAGCCACATTGTCAGCTGGGGGTCGTGCTTTCGGTTTTCGGAGAATCACGGTTTGTGCTCTGCTTTGGTGAAAGGACACTTTGTCCATGCAGCGACTGCCATCGGACGTGACGAGGTTGCCCGGAGCTGGTTACCCCTGCATGTGTGTTTTGCGGCTTGGAGTGTATGTCCGCATCCAGGATGTATCTCACAAGATCCGCATTCTGAACTGGAACATCCTGGCCCCCTCGTGGGACAACAACGTGGGGAAACTTGGTTCCAATCAATGATACCGCAAAGAAGTAATGGCAACATGCTGATATCTAAAATAAGGAAGAAGGACAAATCCGCGCAATGGCCGTTTCGACTGCCAAAGCTCATGCACGAGATGCGCCTGCGCAAACCCGACATCATTGTCTTGCAGGAGGCCAGGCTTCCCCTGAACCCTGGCACGTTCCTCAGCCAGTCATCTCCTACATCCCGAATCCGAAGTCTCGAAGTACCATTGTAGTTTATGGAAGAGACATATATGCTTGCCCTCCCGGCCAAAGGTGGAGGTGATCCTTTGGGAGGAGCAGATCAAGCCTTTCCTGAAATCTCATGGCTTTCAGTCTGCCTACGCCGCCTGGCAGGAAGAAGGGTTCCGAAGTGGGGGTGGATGCCCTGCAGTCGAGGGCTGGATTTGTAAACCTTGGGTTCCACACCGAAAGCCCGGCAACCCCAAGCGGTTTAGAGCCTCCAGGCTTGTTCGGAGTCTGGCATGGGCATCGCCGTTCTCTGGCGACATTCGCGCTTCGATCTCGGGAACACCGTGGAAGTGGGCCTGGGATCCCTGAAGATTCACACTCGAAGAATTAAGCCTTAAACTTGAACCCAGTTCCGTTCGAATGCCCCGACGTCCGTGTGCATGTGTACCCATATATATATATATACACATACACACATACGTCTATATGTACACAGATGGATAGAAAATTAAGTATGTTTATTGTAACCTTTTGGTTTTGCAAGTCCCCTTGGCAGGTGGACCTGGGGGATGCCAGCAACAGCCGCTGGCTAGCTCAGAAACAGGGGACCCTGAACAAGGACCCGGCAGGAATGGAGTTGTCGTGTGGGGTTCGGGGGTTGAGGCGTTTGGGTGTTGAGGGTTTGTGAAATTGTCGGCTTTGAGGGGTTCTTGGGCTTTGAGGGTTGGAGCGCGTAGAAGGTGTGGGTGGCTCGCAGTTTAGAGCCGGTACTGGTAGGCACGTGACCCTTGAGCCCTTCAGCGCCATGCAGCAGACCTTCACTGCTGAGAGTGGTGTGTTGGTGGTCGTAGTAGCAGCAGACGTAGACAGCTGTCGTGGTATTTCACTTAGCCTTGACAGGACCAGCAGAGCAGGTTCTTCTCCAAGGGGTATCCGGGAGGTTGTGAGACAAATTTTTGTGTCTGATCTATTAAATGCAGCTGAGATCTTGAAATCTGAAATCTTTTCCTCCACGGTTTTGACAAAGCTGAAGGCATCCGGGTCTTCTAATTGTCCTTGGCATCAAATCGGGCAGTAAGCTCCGCAAAGAGCAGCATGCCCTGCTGGTTGGGGCAGCGCAGCCTGACGGGATCTGCAACATTTTCTTGTTTGTAGGAGTCCACGTTGGGGACTTAGGTTTCTCCCGACTCCCTTTCAGCTTTCAGCCCTAAGGTACATCGTTGCGAACCCTATCAGTTTACTCCCGATGCGGCTGGATATTCAAGCCGTGCAAACGCTGATGCTGATGGATAGCATGGAGCGCGTCTTGGAGCACGAGTCCCGCTACTATGCGAGTTTGAGTGTCTGCTGGCCTCCTCGGCAAAATTTTGGTTCGGTAGTCAGGTCCGAATCCAACGACTGAATGTGCCGAAGAATCGGATTCTAAACAGCAGGATCCCTGTGGACTCGTCGCTTTGGGGTTGGATTGGGTTCTATTCAATTGAATTCCATACAGAGTTTGGTTGGGTGCACCCTAGAGGGTTTGGGCGTCTCTGACCGTCTCTGACCCAGAGGCTTAGGGCCTTGTGCTCTTGGATCCTGAATTACAGAGGCTCAAAGGTTGAACTTGGAGCTGGGAGTAGGTCGGTTGATTGCAGGACGAAGCGTCTGAATCTGTGCCTTTGAAGATATCCGTCGGAGGTAGTTGTCGCTGGGGACTTCAACGTACCGCCGTATTATCCGCAGATGTCCTTCGACCTGTTATCCAAGCACATTGCCCAAGAGGGCGACTTTGACCAGATGGCGACCACCGTCATGTTCCTGGGCGGCACTTCGCGACCGTCAGGGCCAAAACCTGAAACCTTGGTTTTGGGGCTGTGGAGTTCTTCGTGTGCCATGCCCAATACACCTCCTTGTTTCGGAGGTCGGATAGGCCGAACTCCAACTCATCATCCGCACATAGGAAGAAGAGAAGCAGACGCACAACACAAAAAGACAAGGATGCAGAGCGAAGAATGAGACATTAAATCGACGACGACATGGATATACTGTTAGTACAGTGGCAGCAGCAGCAGCAGTAGGAGGAGGAGGAGGAGGAGCAGGAGGAGGAGGAGGAGGAGGAGGAGGAGGAGTGGTGGTGTGCTGAAAGCAGCAGCGCTGTCAGTAGCAGGAGCTGCAGCAGCAGCAGGAGACGTAATAGTGGTGCTTAGTGGTGCTAGGTTCCATAGTACTGGTATTGCACCTGCCACAGCCTCACCCCTCGAGGCAAGGCGTTGCGAGCGGCAAGTTTCAGACATTTGTGGACCCAAACTCCGAGCAGCAGACCATCGCCAGTCCTGTGCGCCGTGACTGCACTCATCGGTTTCGTGATCCTTGGGTTCGATCATTCTAACATTCGTAAGCCCGCATCATCCTGCAGCGTCGATTGCGAGTGCTGAAAGCCCGCATCATCATGCAAAGCCTGCGTGGAACTAGCCTCCTAGTTTTGGCATTCGGTCTTGAGCAATGGGGCCCCGCTGCCTACAGCACTTCACGGGACTGTTGTGGACGGCTTCAGGTTTCCTCCTAGGCTTTCCACCATACCTTTCCAGAGCCAGCAGTGTTTCAAGCCCACCTGTGAACATCGAAGCAGGGTCTGTGGAGCTTTGACTGATGCCGAAAGCATCCAACATTGCCCGATACAGTAGGCCGTGAACCAACTCTGGACGCGCAGTGGAGGTCACGGATGACCGGGGCAGGGAGAGTCTGGGCACGCGACCTGCCGCCATCCTTCGGAGCCCCTTTTGAAGGGCGGCATCGGAAGAGGCCGTGACGCCAAAGGCCCTCGGAGTCAACGGACGGAGTTTGGTCAACTTCGACGGAATCGTTGAACGAAGTAGGCGGCAATCGCGGTCGACTGCATTGGTGATGGAATTGTCTCAGTTGGCTGTTTCTTCGCTTCATGGACTTCAGACTCGGCTGCATCGAGAGAACGTAGCGTCGCGAGTCCGAACTCGATGAGCCGCTGACTGAAGACGCGATCCCGCGATTCCGCAATCCCGATGGAGTTCGCGCATTTGTGGCGATGGCCGTTTTTTTCGTTTGGCCGTGGGCAACTGACCAAGGTGAATGACTTGTATGACACACCAACGGTATCGCCCGTGATAAGGTGTTTTTTGTCCGATTGCTTTTACAATTGTTCTGCCAATATGTGGTCCAGGCTGGGCAGTGGCCACATCACGATCTGCGCGATGAGGACACATCGAGCATTGCTGCCGGCACGGGGCATGCGGTGGCCGTTGAAGGCAGGCCAGGCGGTGCGAAAGAAGGTGCTGCGGGGAGTTTTTGTCCCGACCACAAAGCGTTCCGCAGCTCGGTGCGTGAACATCATCTCGCGCTCGCCACACTCTCCCGCCTGCATCCGCCTTCGCGTGTCACGACCTGTCTGATGACTCCTGGAGCGCGCCATCGACGCCTGTGTTGATGTGGTGCTAGGGACGGCCCTGCCGACGCGTCAGCGACACTAATGCGATGTCGCACACACCGCAGCCAGACTGCAGCCCGCAGTCACGGCAACCCCCAGATTCTCGGAAGGTGGTCGAGACCCGAAGGGACAGCGATGAGGGGATCAGGGAACTGCCGCCGATGCTGGCTGCGACAATGAGCAGCAACGCAAGTCACAGTGGCGAGCCAAGCTCGTGCGGCAGCACACGACCGAAGGTGCAAAGTGCGCAGACCCTTTGTGAGCTCGGCTTTGAGGCCTACAGAGCCCGACCGGGTGTGCGGGCTTTCCGCTGGTGGCGGGCTTTTCAGTTTCATTCCAGCACCCTAGATCAACCCTCGGTTCGTTGATCTTGGGTGTAGCCCGCAACGGGGTGTGCAATGCTGGGTGTTGCTCCAAATAATCAGTGTTCGATGAAACCCCGTTTTCGCCTGTGCTTCATCGCAGATTTGTCTCTCTCCCTCGCTTGCTTGCTGCTTGATGTGCCCTCGGAATATTGCAAGGAAGGTTTGTGTTTCGGCCGGCCGCACCGCAAAACGCCATGAGAGTTCGATTGTCTCGAGTTCAGCAAAACTATTTGCGTCTGCCTGCCTCCGAGGTACGAGCTCATCACGAAAGGTGTGCTGGGGCAAGACTCCATCGGCTTTCTCGTGGCTGCCATCAAATCAGCTGGATACCATCCATCACGGATTTTGGAAGGAGCGCACGTGTGAGGTATAGCACATGTCGTGTTTTGGATCATATGACTTTGCTTACCTGTTCAAGAGAACCTTCAAAGCAGGGTACCAGAAGAATTTGCCAGATCTGCCAGGACCTTTGTACCAGATGCTGACGACAAAGTGGTTGAAGTACCAGATGATGAGCGCATATGCGCATGTTCTTGGGATGGAGCCGATGACCAATGCGCTGGAGACCTTAGATTTCGTGCCGGGGTCTGAGCAAACATACATGCCGAAACCCCTAAACCTAAAAGCCTCCCTAAACCCTTGTGGAGCCTTGCCTGCCTTGTGCGAGTTTGAGTGTCGAAACCGTTTTTCAGACTTGTATATGCCCGCCTGGATGTCAGATGTCAGAGCCGCTGCACTCGTGGCAGCAACCCTAACCCTCTGAAGTAACTGAATCGCGGTGCAGCCAAACCCTAAACCCCGAATGGAGTCATCCGATAAAATTGGAACCATACAGAGAAGATCAGCATGGCCCCTGTGCACGGATGACACGCACAAATCGAGAAGTGTACCAAGTGTCAAAACCCTAAACCCCCAGGCAAAAAAATCTCAAACAGACATGTGGAGCCCTGCCTGGCTCGTGCGAGTGTGAAGTCGAAAAACTCACCATGGATGTTGGGAGAGCTAAGGAGCCAGGGATGATGATAATCCCCATTAGGAGCTAAAGAGCCAAGGGAACCCCCCACTATCAAGGTAAAACCCCTGAGCCCTAAACCCTAAACCACTGGTGGTTTGTCCGAGTGTGAGAGCCGAAACCCTAAACCACTGGTTAGAAAACGCTCAACCGTCTCCTCAAAGACAGCCTCGCCGGAACTGTCCGGTCCGGGCCGTGAGAGTCGAAACCTCGCTGGCAGCCTTTGAGTGGACCCAGAGAACCCAATACCCCTAAATTCAGCAATATACCTTTACTTTGAGGTATATTCCTTAATTAAGGGGTATTGGGATCTCTGGGGAGGCCGTCCACCGTGTCATTCTTCCATCTGCTCCGCCAGGTTCTTCTTGCCCGCACAGCGGCGACCAGACCATTCGCGTGCTGCCAGATTGGCAGTCACAGGCAGGAGTATGACCCACAAGTTCATGTTGTGTAAAGTGCTCTCTATCTTCATTCAGAACGCACCGGCTGCAGAATCAGACGATTCAGAGCCTCTGCAGGCGTCCTTGCAGCTCCGCCTCCGCAGTCCAGACAGAAACTGGTTGCCGGCTTGGGCTCCGATCACATTCCTCTGGTGGTGGATGTGGGGCTTTGCACGCCTTCGAAAAGTGGCGAGGTGGAATCCCAGCGCAGGGAAGACAACAGCACGACGCCCGTAGCCAACATCACTCATAGCCCGCCGTCCTGCGATAGTTCCAGCCAAGAAAGGATAATGGAGATGTTGGCAAGCTTGGAACGTCGCTTAGAGACGCTGGATTCAAAGGTGTCCAAACCTTGCACGTTCGCGGAGCTCAAGTGGGCATTGGTTGCATCGACGCTCGGTTCGGTCCTCTTTGCAGCTTCGACGATGCTGCTTGGTTCAAAGTTGGATCCGGTCCATCACTGCCCGGCAGGTGCTGCAGATTCGCCAGTCAGACTAGCTCCGTGCATGCACGCATTAGATCGGCAGCATCTTCCAAGCTTTTCTGTATCAACCATTGGCCTCCACATGCTTGAGCCCAGGTTGCTTGGAGTGACATCTGCGCTCATGAGACAAGCGATGACAGGGTGTCTGCTGGCATCTTTACTTTACCAAGGCTTCGTAGTCTCAAAGATCTGAAGTGCAGTTAGCTAGCTTGCCGGAGGACATTTGCTGCGGGCCATAGCGAGCCAGGGACAGCTCATCATCTGGCAGAAAGGGCACGAACACAGTAAAGCCGGGCAGTGCCGATCCTTGGTCATCGCATGGCCCACATACGCGGGTTCTCGAAAGTAGGGTCCCGCACCAGGGAACCCGAATTGGAGCCCTGAAACGTTAATGAAATTCGATGAGCGTGAAAGCTGTTAATGTAGGTTCAGGTGGCCGAATCCGGCTTCCTAGCCCTTGTCTCTGACATCTACGGGAGATGCTCACCGAAGCATGCAGCGAATTGAGCGTGTGATCGAGGGCAGGGTTGAGGTTTCCAAGCCAGTTTGGAGTTGCACTCCAGCTTGCAACTGGGCTTCAGAACACTCATGCCAGGCCCAGCATGAGGCGCAATCTTCCATCACCAGGGTCTGAATTTCCCTCTAGCCCTTGGGCAAGGCGTGGTACAGCCATGGGTGCTTCAAATTGTCATGAGTTCTGACTTTGTATTTCGGTACACCACCGTCTTTGGTCCATGAGCCCTTGGCGTGAACAGTTCTTGGAGGGACGGACGGCCGCAGCTTCAGCCCAGTCTCAGTATTGTCACATGACGGTTGCGATGGTGGTCTACGTCAAAGCATTAACACTTGCCAGCTGTTGCAAATCCATGTACCTGAAAGTCGAGATTGTTCTCTATGCCAGTAGCAGCCTTCCAGCCCAGTTATCACTCTGGACGTGTGGCTCATATGCTCCTAGTCCTAGACGACAGGGTATGCATGTTTTTGACCTGAATGGAATTTGGTGGATTCCTGGAAAAGTGGCGCGGCCCGGATGCAAGGAGCAATCTCGAAGAGTCACATGGACCTGTGTCGCGTCTTCCCAAATTCGAGATCATCTCCAGCGGAGGGGCAGCCAATACAACAACAAGCCTTACTTCCGCAGTGCCTCGCCGAATCGTGTGCTTGTGGCAGTGAGGCGAGTACCTGAATGGAGATGCCCCTCGAACAGACTCACACCTGAACCAGGCCAACAATGAGCGGCTGGGCAGCATGTACTTAAAATTTCAAGAAATATAAGGATCCCGGGCCTCATGGGCCATGGAGTTGCTGATGAGTGGGCCCCCATGTTGTTTTCGGCTTGCCCACTGCATGACAAACCCTGGATGCCTCGAAACCATTCAGCCCCAAAGATGCGGATCAATGGAAGGGTGATCGGAAAGCTCGACGATCTTCTGCAATGTACTTTAACCCAAACCCCCGATATTAGTCCTAGATAATCTAGTATGCTTAGATATTCTGGACTCGACTCTGACATACGAGCTGACGCGTGACCTCTAGCCCGGCAGGTACAGCGAGGAGGACCTCCGATGCGCAACGCAAGGCTTCGACAAATCCTGCCTACTGGGCGCCGGGTCTTTCGGCCAGGTGTGACTTGGCGAGTATGGGCCTCCGGCACGCTTTCGAAGACACTGCAGATGCACTGTTCCATGTCTGAGGTATAAGGGTTTTAGGGTTTCCTAAACCCTAGACCCTATTCCATGGCTGAGGTATAAGGGGACCATGAAGGATGGAACCGAGGTGGCGATCAAGGCGCGACTTCGTATGCGGGCACAGCATCGGCCTAAGCTCAGCGGCATCCTTCTGACATGGACCCCATCCCCGGCCTCTACACGACCCATAGGCCCCATAGCAGTTCCTTTTTGGGTGTACCTTATGGATTCCAAATATGAACCCCAGAAAGGAACTACTATGGGCCCATGGGCAGAGGTAAAGCGAACGGAAGTTGGTTTCCACAGTTTCAATATCTTGGCAGGTCCTGCAGGTGCCAGAAGAAGGTGGCTTTGAAGACGAGGTGGGGAACAGGAAGTTCTCTGAAATGCTTCTCTGCGTGGCGGTGAGACCTGCCGGAAGTGTCCAGGTGTGCAGTTCCTGCATGGCTTCTGTTTGCCCGGTTGCAGCATACAGGCAGCACGTCACAACCTTTGGATGTTTGCTTTCGGCCGACCAGGTGCGCGTCCTGTCACGCTTCCGACATCCGAACCTCGTAATCCTGATGGGCTTTGCCAGGCAGAGGGGCAGGGATGCAAAAGCCGATCAGCATCAGGGTTTCTATATTCAGTCATCTGCACAAACGCAGTGAGTGGGGTTTGGGACGGGCAGTCTGAGCCCGGGAGGGAGGCCCCTTTAACGGCTGCCGAAGTCAGGGGTTCCAGGAAGGCGAGGCAGCAATTGTCTCGGGAACTAAGGCTAAGGAGCATGATCGGGTTGGGAGCCCAAACCGAACTACCCAGCAGCATGAGTGCAGATTTGTTGATCTGGGCTGGGTCATGGATCCAGGGGACGGGACGAACAGTGCAAGCGGTTCCGCAGACTTTGCTTATCATTTCTCGCCTTTCGGGGCACGAGCTTCCTCCTTTTTCCGCTCGAGTTTGTTGAATCCTCCGGCCCTGCTCTTTCCACGACTCCCATCCCTCATGTTCGCGACTCTCACTTCTGCCGTTCCGACTTTGGTTCCCCGACTCTGCCAATGGCGGCGATCTCAGCTGTCAAAGGCACGCCGCAACTGGATGGCGCAGCCTCATCTATGAGCACCTCGGCCCAAGCATGCTCGAGCAGGTAATGGTGAGGTGGAAGTGATGAAGTAGTATGCAGGATAAGTCTGGCCCATCAAAGCCATGAGGTTCTGTGCTGGCGGTGATGCGGCACAGAGGATATCTCGGAGCCACGTGTTCTGCAAAGACATCTGCATGACTCGTGCATAGGGCCCTTCCAAGCATGTCTAGCGGCGGACAGGAATAGGGAAAACATGGCAAAACACTATACCATCTATACCTAATCCCAAAATCGGGGCGCCTGTTTTGTTTGGTACAGCAATTCCTGGCCCCAAGGCGGGATCCCTCGCAGTTTGCTCGCTTGGCGGTCTCTAGGGTTTGTCACCTGCTCATACTGCATGATTCGGAGGGCAATCCGAGCATCTGTCTAAGACTATGATGACTATGACCTCAGAAGTCCACAAGTGTGAGCTCTACATGCCCAAATGTTTCCAACAGATCTCGACTTTCCAGGTCGTCATCGCAAGGAGCTTGCGCGGGAGGGTGTGAGAGTTTCAAATTGAGCAGCGCAGAGGGACCTGAAGGAGTCATTATGTGCCTGATGATGTCATTTATGGCACACGGACGTCCGCTTGAAACGCTACGCTACCGTCAATGCTTCAAGATACAGCTTCGAGAGCTAGCCGCGCGGCTTCTTGGTCTTGCGTCCCATAGGTGTCAGATGCAAAACAGAGAAGCGCTTTGGCAGTTAGAGGTTGGTTCTCGGTTTCGGAATTGTGAGTTGGAGCATGCTCGCCGGAGCCCGGAATGGTGAGGTTTTTGCCAAGAGGCAGCTTTAGTTCCGCGCGATTGCGTGAGAGACTTGAATGCCTTGTGCCGCATGCGGACTTCCTAGCCGGAGACGTGGCGGAGGAGCTTTTTGGTGGCCGAGAACGCCTCAGTGCTGCACTCGACGCCGCTTGCGGGCTTTCACACCTGCACAACATGACCCCAAGGCAGCGAGTGGCGGAGGGAAGCTGCACCGCCCGTGTGCATAGTTACGTCTGGTACAGGGGTTCCCTGCATGAGCATATGTGGCGCCTGCCACTCTGGGTGCACCTTTCACGAAGCAAGAGTCTTACAGGACGAGGTGAGCTGTGTATCTACAACCTGGAGTGTGCGTTACGTCTTTATAATCCAGATTTCAGCAGCTCTAGTGTCATGAGTTTGAGCATATTGTGAAGCTGGTGGAGGGGCTCAGCTAAAAAGCTTGCCACGTGCAGGGCCTTTCATCGAGACATCAAGTCGCAGAACATCTTGCAGCCTGTTCGCAATCACCCATTTCAAACTGCATGAGCTTTTGCAGCATATGCATCCCTGCTTTTGAGGCTGGATAAAAACGGCACGGCCAAAATGGCGGATTTTGGAGCCTCGCCTGATCAGAGCGTAGACTCCGCGTAGACGCATGCCATGGTGCAGGGCCATTACTGCATGTGCATAAGATATGCTCAAAGGGTATGACCACGCATGCGACCTGCATTTGAACAGACAGACGGACAAATCTTTAGACAGACTTAGAAGGCTTGAGTTTTGGATATGAGCACTTGCTGTAGGGTGATGGCACTTGGCCCGTGCCCATCTCCGAGGTCTTGCATGCTTGTCCAGCACCATGGCATGCAATGAGGTGGAAGAGAAGCCTTTCCAAGACAGTGCGGTCTAGCATGGTCCAGCGACTGAAGTCATCCCTGCAATGCAGCACTACTGTGCTGCCCAGTTGCCTGTGATTGCGGACAGTATCGGCTGCACTGCCTGTGCTTGAGCCGAGGTGCTTCGCAGCACAAGGTGCACCGAGTTGGGGGAACCGTGGGCTACGCCTGCCCGGAGTACCTCCGCGCCCTGATTCTCAAGACTTCTCGGTGCAGAAATCTGATCTCTGATATTTGAGACCCTGCCCTGCTCTCCCCAACGAGTTCTGCAGCTCGAAGCATGTAGGAGTCATTTTGTTTTGGTGCTTGTTGCGCGCTCTCACTGGCTACTCTTGGTCGTTACGACCTGCTAGTTACAGATTGCTGACCGCAACCAACTATCTACTCGCACCAGCTTGACATGCTGTTGTTGCTGTTGGTGGTGGTGGTGGTGGAGGCAGGGAACGCATACAACGACGAGCACATGAAATAACGACTTGAGTTGCTTCGTACACCTGCAGGGTCCAGTGATGGGTGCAACAGGACCAAGCTTCCTCCCCGTCTAGTTGTCTCATTCTCTTCTCTTCCTTCTGCCCTACTAGCTCTTGTTGCAACTTCTCACTTCTCACTTCCCATTGCATCAACAACGAATCTGCCTCGCGCGGAGCGTCGTGAGGTACAGGCCTCATCACCGAAGGTGCCGAGGCAGGGTTTGCTTTTAGGGTTTAGGGTTACAGGGTTTTGGGGGCGGGTTTAGGATTGGGTGCGAGTAGGGCGTTTCGGCTTTTCAGTTGGTCCGGCTGCTTCTTCTGGCTGGCCTTCGGCGCCTTCCCCAGAAAGGCCAGAAAGGGAATGTGTAGACCCTTTCCTTTACACCTCTTCTGAGATCCAAGAACCTAAGGACATATCATAGGCCGTTGTCTCGGTAAGGTCTACAGCTTTGGCATGGTGCTTCTTGAGCTGCTCACTGGCGTGCCGCCTGCTATCTGCCGGCCGGGTGGCAAGTCGGGGGAGTACAACTACCTGGCGGCTCGGCAAGCATCTGAATGTCATCTCTGCCCCTAAACCCTAAACCAGATAAGAGAAGCGATTCTCTTCAAGGACATGGCATGTCGTGTGGAACTGTTGTAATCCGAGCCCCGGAGCTTCACGTCACGCTTGGAGGCAGTGTATGAGAGTAGAAATGTGGAAGCCTCCCGGCTGATCGACGGTTCAGATTTGGGTTCCCTTGAGGTCACCTTCACGGTGCTTTCACGTGGATTCGCAGTGAGAACAGTGAGAACGCACTGCAGCAGTCCTGATGTAGACATGTAGAGCACTTCCTGTTGGGGCCCGGTGCAGGTGGACTGGCTGCAAGGAAGAGACCTGACTGCATGTCTCAGCTCGGGCCGGGAATGTCTAGAACAATGCATCTCCCGATCTTGGCTTCACCGTACGGTCAGTGATCAGTCTTGTTTGTCTGTAGGGGTGTTTACACATCGTGTGACCCGAAATGTGCCAGCGGGTGGAACTTGTGAGTTTGCTGTTTGCATGAAGCCGGCCATGAAGTCGACGCGTATTCTGTCCCATCTGCATAATGTGCTGGTGGAGGGTTGGCTTTTCATCAGCTGGTCGCATAAGCATAAACGCGCGTTCAATTTCGGAATGACTTAGAGCTGCAAGCCTGAAGAGGACCGGGACGGTCACTAAACATGGCTGGAAATGCCGCGGTGCTAGGTTCCCACTCTTTCGTCCCAGTTATGCTTGGTGGTGACTTGGAGGTAGGTTTCCTCTTTTTCCCAGTGCTGTGTCAGGCGAGGTGAAGCCCCGAAAGCAGGGAGCATTGTGCGTTGCCAGGTCGTGTTCCGTGTTAGTGTGTTGGGACAAGGCCGATGGCTTTCGCAACGTCGTATGTCACCGCCGCCGAACACTCTCCCCAAACCTCGCCTGGCTGCTGAGAAAGTGTGTGCAGAAACCGAAGATTGATACCCAGCAGACCTAACGCATTATACGCATGGGACCCTGAAAGGTAATGCCACTGATTGCGCCCCCGGTGATTCTGCGCATGGAAATTCTATGAAATTCTGTTTGAAACGCAGGAAAGCATGGAACACTAGGCATGTTGCGCACCACTGCCACCAGACTTTCGTGTTCGTGCGTGTGCGACCGACTTGCCGTGAAGAAGTCGGCGAACACACCACTGCTGGCTGGGAGTGCATGAATACACGACAGGCGCAAGACATTGCAAAGTACACTTTCGCCGGAACACCAGCAGTGCAGACGTGGCAGCTGCAAGCCATGGGTTCATGTCGTGCCTGACGGAATGCAGGGTGTGACAAGCCGGCATGTCTGCTGAGTCCTCAGACGTAAATAGGCGCAGGGTTCACCCAAGTGGGAGTACAGAAATGCTACGGCAGCGTGACCAAAGTGCAATGTACCGAAGCCTGTAAACGCAAAGATGCAACAATCCCCGATCCCCTCCCACGAAATCCTCGGGGTCATAGTCTCTGGCGATAGCGTGCATTGCCTGCCCACTACCTCGAAACAGCCACAACCGGGTGGGCCTTTCGAGCAGCACAAGCCCGAGGTTCCGAGAAAGTCCAGCAGATGCTGGACCAGACCGCAAGCTTTGCCCCGCGCACCGCTGAGGTCCGAAGCGGGAATGACCAACAATGGGCAGTTGTAACGCTCTGCTCCCTTTCTGGGCCCTGAGATACAGACAATACTCATTTTTTGAAGGGAGTTCCAATTCAGAACAATTCCTGGAGAGCGCCGTGGCCCATCTGCCATGAGAAAGCCCACGGGATGCGTTCCGCAAGTTTCGTAGTAGTTTGGCAACTTCACCGGTTCGGAATACATCGAGAATCTGCCATAGTCTGTTTGATGTTTCTGGAAACAAGGCGTGCGCAATGCAGGAATTAACATTAAATGAGCTGTCGGACGATTCTATTGGTTGCAGAGCTCCGAATTAATGTTGCGACCGAGCATCCTTAAGTTGCGCTGAGCGATTTGGATTCCAGTCTTGGCTTCTCGCTTCAATGCCCGATAATACGGTCTGAGTCCTGGGCTTGTCCGAGGGCGAGAATGCAAGCTTAAAGTGCTAGGCCCCTGTGCACCCCGAAACCAAAAGCCATTTCGCCTGGAGAGCCCGATTGGGAGAGTCCAAACCGTAAAAGGTAGCACAAATGGACTCCAAACCGTAGCACACTTCCGGTTCGGTTTTGGCATGATGTTTGGTAGGCCATGAGCGAGCTTGCCTTCCGGTGCACGCGCCTTCCGAGACACTTGGCTGGAATTCCCAAGTCTTCCAACGGATGCAAGAGTCAGAGTTTATGGTTTACCGAGGTTCCCAATCAAATGCTGCAACCAAGGGCCAACCATCAGATCACTTCTCAATTCATTCTGATTCTGGAGCTGGTTTCCTAGTCCAAGAGCCCAGAAGCCTCCGACCAAAGCATCCGAGAAGCCGGGAGGTTTGCACTGGGGTAGGCTGGGCTAACGGTCAGCATGTGGCCCGAGCCCTCAGCAGCCACCTATACCGCTCGTGCACTTGCTGGGCGCGTTTGTGTGAACGGCTTTTTGCTGCAGCTGGAATTCGCAGCGAAGCATTCGACAAAACTCTGAACTCTAACATGCCAGTAAGTTCCTGGGTGAACCCGTTAGTCAGATCATCAAGCTGCTGCACCCTGCCCTACATCCGAACACGCGCACTTCAATCCCACCCACGACTATTTCGCTCGTAGTCAGACCCTGGCCTCCAGTCCTGAGAAGGGTTCTCGAGCCCCCCCCAGCTACTCGCTTTCCGTTGAGGGTTTGTTGCGCCCTCGAGTCTGAACATAAATCCTGAAGACCCAGACTTTACACCAAACCAGAAAACGAGTGAGCGTCAGGGTTGAGAGGGCTTTTGCAGAAACATGGTGCATGCTCGAGCCTGATTGCAGAATGCCCATTCGTGCACTTCGAGGGAGGCCTTGTCGGAAGCAAAGGTACGGAGCGGCCTTTGTTTAAGCAGCTGGTGGAGGACTCTTGGACCGCAGGTATCGGAGTTCAGGGCTCTGGCTGCTGTGATTCATGGTCCATTGCGGTTTGACTGGCTCAGATATCGGCAGGTTTATCCGTCAACTTTCTTGTGCTTCTACCCCATCATCCACATAGATGTGGCTTTCGACATCCACTCTTGCCTTGCCCTGCCATCGGCTCAAAGTCTGAAAGATGGTCACCCTTCTATCCCTGGAGCCCATGTCCACACAGCATGTTGCTTAAAGTCCATTCCAGAGCGCGCAGCTCCGGTTGCGTCAGTTGTTAACTCCCCGACTGCCATGGAAGTTGGCTGGAGTGCAGCTCATTGCCGGTGGCTGCATGTGCCCACGGTCCGGGACATTTTCTGCAGCCACCATGGCTGCATGACTTCTCTGCAGGCGTATGGCCACACTTCTAAGTTGGAATGCAGCCATAGGGGCATCTCGGTTGCAGTCGCTGAAGCTTGGCACATGCCAAGTCAGTGTGTCGGTCAGAAGATTTTGTGCGCTTCTATTTTGTGCCGCTCTTGAGAGCATCCGTCGCATGATCGGAAAGGTTTATTTGTCATGTCCAGCTCCAAGTTGCTGCATTCACAGGATGTGGGAGTCCAACCCCATGACGACGAAGCTACGTTTTTCAAATCAACAATGCTTGTAGCAGATCTTGACCTACGGTCCGCTTCGCCAGTAGAGCAGCGGAGGCAACAACAGGGTCATACTTAAGTCATACTTCTCAGCTGCCAGAAGATGGCAGAAGGCCTGCCGTCGACAAGCCCGATGGGAAGCAGCTCTCGTGCTTCTCCAGTCCATGGCAGTGGCGAGGCGCATTGCGTCTTCGGGGGATGTTGTGCTTTAGCAAGCAGGTGTCAGATTCTGGTAGAAGACATGCAGGTGTCAGATTTTGGTAGGTCTTCAGCAGCCACCCAAAAAATCTTTGCAAAAGGCTAGGAGCTCGTCCAGGCTCCCACCAGACCTTGTCGGTTTCACCGCTGCCGCCGGTGCCTGCGAGGCATCTGCGTGCTTGTCTCTTCCAGGGGAGGGGAGGGCTGTTCATCCAATGTTGACTCTCTTGGTGGGATTCCAGCACATATTTGGTGCAGCTCTGACAAGATCACAGAAGGGACGAAGCTCTGTTGAAGAATCTCTGTGACCAATGACACCCAGGCAGCACGGCACTGGCAGCATGCTGTGGCGCTTCTCGGTGGAAGGTCGCTTCGGGTAAGGTTGGGGAACTTTGGCCTGGGAATTGGGGTGGAAGCGACTGTGAGGTGCAGCAAGGAGCAGTGCCGCTACATCCACTGATTTCACGAGAAGTAAATACAATGATTATGAGTTCTTAGAATAGTAGGGGTGTTCATCGACGGAGCAAGAGTACTCGCCAGAATTGCGGAGTAATTCCAGCGCAGTCGTTCAGAATCAGTGGCTCGCCAGGGCACAACTGGACAGCACTGCTTGCACCACGCTCGTCACGGCCTGGGGTCGCAGCGGCCGGTGGCAGCACGCGTTAGCAGTCGCTTGCCGTTCTGTTCAGCAGCCGGTTCAGCCATAAATTCTATTTAGCAGGAATCGGCTCCTTCGCTGCGATCCTGCAGGTGCTCTCCACTCTTATCCATACTCCATGAGCCATCTACCGGGCTGATACCTAAATCCCGTGGGCTGTGATCTAGTTCTCGAAATCCGATGTCCTACATAGGCACTTAGCCATTGTCTTCAGCCTTTCGGATTTCGGGAGGGGGATCAGTATAGTCGCAATCTGATGAAGTGATGAAGTACTGTTTCGTGTTTGTTTGCTCAGTCAGGCCATTCCCACGAGAGCCGTTTCACTCAACAACCACATGCACCGCCTGGATTTCCCGAGTGTGAGCGCCGAAACAGGAGGCAAAACACCCTAAACCCTTTAAATAATAATAGTCATAATAGTAATAATAGTAATAATAGTAATAATAGTAATAATAGTAATAATAGTAATAATAGTAATCATAGTAATAATAGTAATAATAGTAATCATAGTAATAGTTAATAATAGTAATAATAGTAATAATAGTAGTAATTGTAATAATAGTAATAATAATAATACTAATCCCACCCGTCACCCACGTGTTACCTGCCATGCAGTCGCCAGACTCGCCATGCGGGAGCCAAATAATAATAGTAATAATAGTAATAAAAGCTGTAAGGTGCTGGGGCCTGGTGGCGCCGGGCACCGCTGGCGCCTTGGCCTCGCGGTGCTCGGGGCGGCCGTGACGGCGGCCGCACGCGGGCGTCGCTGGCGGGAGGCTGGCAACCCTGGTGCTTGGGTTGATGGTATAAATCCTGCATTACCCATAAGAAGAAATATACCGTAATTCCCATAGTTTAGGGTCCTTAAGGTAATGCAGGATTTATATCATCAACCGTTGGGGGCTTCTCATGGCGAGATGTTTCTCTTTTTTTGGCCCATGCCATTCAAGAACAATAGTGCGGGTCGGAGGCACTGGCGCTCTTGGAAGAAGCCCGGACGGCTGGATGCGAACAGGACGAAGTGGGCGACCTTGCGTAGTGCTCATAGGAAGCTTTCGCCGTTTTTTTCGTTTGCCTTCTTGTGCCAGGCCTTCAATTATATATGTTCATATATATATATATATATATATATATGTACATTTCGAAGTGCTCTGCACAGTGCTGTAGATGGGTCAGGGTCATGCGGAGGTTACGGAGCAGCGATGCACGGCTGCGTCCTTGCCCGGCGCTGGCAGCCTGCTTTGGCGCTGCTCTCGGCGATGGGCCGCCGGCGCATTGCAAGTGAAATGGCGGTGAACATCGGGATTGCGGCCTGTGAGGACCGTCTTTAAGGTTTGGGGCCTCCAGGTTCTGGGGTTTCATGTGGCAGAAGGCAGTATGCTTTATGGGTTTAGGAATCTTCTTGGGGATGGAGCTTCTTCGGACTGCTAGAAGGGCTTGCTGTCGTAGCTTTATCCAGGAGGGACACCAGTGGCAACTCGCCATCAATTTGCTGGCGAGCCTCTGCGTTACCCGAGTACGCCGAACGGACACGGTGAATACAGCTGCATCGGCATGTGAGCGAGGACGGAAGTGGCAGCAAGCGCTGCATCTTTTTGCGGATGCATTCCATGCTGGTGTAACACCGTCTCTGCTTTCGATTGTGGTGATTTTATCAGCTTCTGCTACGGGGAGTTCGTGGGAGCCGGCGCTGTCCTGGTTGTCCAGAGCCCAGAACAGTCAGGGCGACCTCGCCACGCAAACTGCTTGCCTGAATGCTGCCATCGCCAGCTGCAGTCGAGCTGCGCAGTGGGAGCTTTCTCTCAGCGTCCTCAGACGGTCCACAATCAAGGATGCTATCAGCTACAGCTCTGCTATGGACGCCTGCTGCTGGGGCCGGGCCTGGAGAGGTGCAGCTGTCCTTCTTGCCACCGCTGCCACGGACTCCGTGGAGCTGGGTGCGGCGGCTTACAGGTCAGCAGTGGAAGGTCTGGAACACGTGCATCAGAAAGAGGCCGTGCAGCTGCGGCGTCGGGTACTTGTCCGTGCACTGCGGGCCATGCAGGAGCCTTGCGACCCCGACGTCTGGTCTTGGTGGGAGCTTTCGGAGAGCTGGGGGCCAGCGGATGCTTCACACCGAATGTTCCGCACAGTCCTCTTTGAGAACCTCATGTCGGCAACCAAGGATCTCGTTTCGCATCCTGCATCGCTTCCCTGCGCAGTCGTGCGCCGCAGTGTGGAAGAGCTCAAGCAAAACACAAGTCTCACTTCCCAAATCGGTGCAGTGTGTTCGTTCGGAGTTCGGAAGGCGCATGTAATAAATAGGATCTCTTCCGCCCTGCTTATGACGAACCAATAGAGAACTTCTAAGCAAGGAATGGGAGTTTTGGGGGCCTGTATGGGTCCACACCATGGTTCTGGATCTTATCATCGAGCGACGATGCCAACAATAACAATAGTGCTAGTAATAATGCTCATCATAATGCCAATATACTGATAATAATAACAATAATGCCAGTAATAATATTCATCATTATTCTAATATACTAAATAGAACTAAGCTGACGATATCGGGGCCGCGAGCATCCCCAGCGGGATGCTGTGGCCGGCCGCGACTCTGACATCCAACGAATCAGCCGAGCCTGAAAGAAATTCAGCCTCAACGCCTCCAAACGCAGACATAAGTCGCCATTTCGATTGTGACGATGATAATGACGACGGTGATGGTGGCCTCTGTTCAGCGTTCCCCGTGTGATGATGAAGCATTCGGTCTACTGAACTTATACGTCTCTTGAAATCACCGACCAAGGAGCTGCGCAATTTGCTCTCTACCTTAGCGGAAGTTGGGCGCCCGACCGAGGCTCCATCGCACTTTAGGATGCAGATGTCGATCTTGACTTGGGTCCTCTGACTCGCCCAAGCCTGGAGGGAATTGATGCATCACGATGTGCGGGGTCGCGCTGCCGCACTGATTGCTATTCTGCTCTGGGGCGTTTTCTTGTGGGTTCCGGATTGCGAGCATGCATCGACGCTACTGACTGACAGGAGTTGGGTCGCGACTCGTTTGAGGATGGGCTCCCCGCGCCCGCCTCATTCTAAACCCTGAAGATGAGCATGCGTCGTCCATAGTTCATGAAACATAGCTCATGCAGAGTCAGAGAATCATTCCAAAATTCACACTGACCATATAGGCCCTGGGAGCCACCGTCGTTCCGTTATTCTTTAGGGCTCCTTTACACAGTTCTACCCGTAAATGCCTTGCTGTGTCTGTAACAGGTCGTTTCGACACCCGTGGTGGCCGCATCTCCCCCGAGCTCAGAGTTGACGTCGCTCCCTGGAAACGGTTTTGGGTCGGTTTTGGAGACTTCGGGTACGAGGGGGTTGGGGTAATAGCACAACCGTGAGGTTCATTGCATGCCCTTGCACAGAAGCAGAGCCCGGGGTGCTTTGATGACAGTGTGGACGACTATTCATTGAGATGAGAACTGGGAGGGATGATTGGTTGTGTGTTTTTCCCATCGGTTTCCTGAAGTCGGGAGTTCCCGGTTTCCACGTCCTGAAGCTGTCTCGCTGAGCCCGGCTTCAGGCAGGCTTTCGCCAAAGGCACTGCTGTGGAGGCCCTACGTACCTCCGGGTACTTAGGACCTAAGACCTAAGAAGCACAGACTCTCGAAGGGGCAACCCTGTTCTTCGAGCATAGGTGTGTTACGGGTACTCTCGGAAGTTTGGGTTTGCTCAGTCTGTGAGCCGATTCTTCCCCTCAGCGTCTTGTCAACGTTTTTTTCTTGACCAGTGCAGTAGGATCACCTGCTTTTGAGCTTTAACCTCGCTTGGTGCAGCGCACGCTTGTTTAGGAGAGGCGTTTCGGTGTAGGACGCACATGCCACACCGCCAGGCGCCCTTTCGCGGGGGACCGCTGTGGTTCCAAGGCCGGGTTGTTATCGTCGTGCAGTCATGAAACATGTCTGCGCTTTGTGGCTAGTTGCACAGGATCAGCATGTCGTTTTGCGACCATAATACTGCGACAGCTATGCGCATAGCATAGCAGGCCTGTAGATGTGATGTTGTCGCAGAAGTTGGTTACCTCATAAGGAAGGGTACGATGTGTTCAATAGACAGCTTACAGAATTCACGCTTTCATGTTTAAAATGACCACAAGCTGCGAGCTGAGGCGCGCATAAGGGCATGCGCGGTGCAGCCCCTCCTCACAGAAGAATGCCCACCAGCCAATCAGACACACGCCCAACCTACTACGGGATCAAAGTAGTTAGGTAATCGCGTAGATCCCTTCGTCTCTTTGCAAGTATATTAAGACGGAAAGAGCAGGACACAGCAGAAATGATGCCATGCACTAGAAGTGGCAGTTGTGCATACGTGCCCACGTGCATGCGCACGCACGAAAGCGCGTACGTGTGTGCACACACCCATGCACCTGCATGCACATAATTGGGTCGATATATCTGCAAATCCGCGCATCCATGCATGCACATGCGCATGCCTGATTTCCCGTCCAAATTTCGTTCGTTTGTCTATCAGTCAGTCTGAATCTGTACATCTCTTGTACCTATGGGGGTACAAGAACATTGCGAGCGCAGGCGGACATGCCGTTCACATGAACCCACACTTACATTCCGAGCATATTGCACTTCATACCATGCGTGCTCCATGATGCGGTGTAGATGGCATGTAATGACTACAACATGTTTTGCAAGATGCCTGGCACATCTCGCAATGGCGAATGGGCAACTTTTTGGTTGGAAAACTGGGCACACTGTCTAAGCGTAAGTCTACCCTGATAGGATGGGTCGTGAACCACAAGCAGAACGGCATTGCTGTGGTGCGATACAACGACGGTCGGCCACTCAGTGCTCAGTGTCGGGCTTAGTCACCGTTGTATTTGGGCAGTTGTCAAAATTAGGGCCCCTTTTTGGTGCAGTATTATATTAGGGACCCAAAATAGGACCCTAATGTTGACAACCACCCATTTGGAGACTGCCAGTGCAATGGTGTTGGAACCCTCAACTTGCAGGGCCTCCCCCACCTCTCCCGTCTGAGCCCGATGCAGGCCAGGAAGAGGACGTGCCATTCACCAGCCTCCGCGGGGCTCCCGGCACTTCCTTCGTGGCGCCGACGCCGACGCCAGTGACCGAGAAAGGGCCTCCGCAGCCTGGAGGCGTTAAGGTTTCGGCTAGGAAAACATGCTGACATGAGCTCGGGACTGGAGGAGCAGGTATGAGCTACAGTAGCTACAGTGTGCTGATTTGTGTAGAGACCCCGCAAAGGTTCTTCGTAAAGACTGTTGCTTGATGCTCCTCATTTTTGCATGGTCCATTTGAAGTGTTTTGTCTCTTAGATTCATGATAGAGACACTGGCACTGGACCCCACAACCTACTCTACTGATATTGGATGCCTTTGACTGAAATCTCAGATCGTCGCCGCCATCTTTGCCTCCCACGTTGATTGCCGACGCCGGCAATGGTCTGCCCCGGACTGTGGACCCAGAACCCAGAACACAAGCCACTTGGTGTCTACAACTACTGAAAACGCTTAGGGGTACGTTTAGAGAAGACGGCAACAGCACTTCCTTGTTCTGCAGTGGCAGAGTGACCTCTAAGAGGAACATGGAAGCGGATAGCGGTTTGTTATCTCGGGTGACCTGTCCCGGCTGGTGTTTTCGGATCTTGAGCTGCACTGTATGCTTTCTAGTTGGTTGGGTAATCTGTAGTTGCGAGCTTTGGGCGTAGGGCCTAAGTTACGACCAGCCGTCGTGCAGCTTCGTGTGCCTTGTGCTTTCCTGAGAGTCAAACTTTTATGTGGCACGGCAGCGGCAGCCTCCGTGCATTGTGGAGCCCCGGCCCCGGCTAGGGCCAGGGAGGCATGCAAAGATCTGCAGAAGGTGTTGGAAAGGGCTCAGACCCTTGGCCCAAATCCAGCGCGGTCAAATCGAGGGCTGGATCGGTCCTGGGACCCTGCAAGGTCGAGCAAGGAAGGCGAGGCCAAGCACAGTGTTCCTACAGCAGAACTTTCCATGAAATGAAACACGCAATGAGACGAAACGGCGACGCGCTGCGCATCGCACGAAGTACAAGTTGTCCTGAGTCGTTTTCTAAGTCCATGCCGAAGCTATCCGTTCGTTGTCGCGCTATAGAAGCATTCCACGAAGATTAGGTCCCCGCGCTGCCAGCCTGGCAGCTGAAGAGCGTGTACCCTGGTCTGATCTGATTGTGGAGGGTTCCGGGAAGGTTTCTGGAGCATGAACGGAAGGACCAGCCCTTGCCTGCCTTGCCTGAGCACATCAGTAGTGTACAACTGCCACACGTGGCAAGATACATGCAGGTGTGGAAAAGCGAGCCCTGCTCTGTCAACAGAGGAGGGGTCTGCATGTAGCAGTGTGGATCCGGCTTGCTGTTGCAGCATCAAGGGTATCAGGGAACCCATTGGTAACTTTGGGTACGGCCCCCACTCAGTAATAGTTGAATAATATTCATAATATAGATATAGTAGGACCTCAATAGTACTTAGTAGCCCTATTATACACTCTTACTGTATGGGGGCCGTACCTAATTGGTAACCCAAGTTTGGAACAATCCCGTGCCCCAAACCCTACATCCGGTTGCGTCTGGTTCGGCTGAGGGAGGCTGAGGGAGGATCACCGCAGGTAGGATATGCTTAAAGGGAACTCCAGAAAGTTGGAATATGGTTTCAGGGTAGGATCCCCTATAATTTACCTTAAAGGGGCTACGATAATGATATTCCAACTTTCTGGCTTTTACTTTAGAGGATCGCGGCTTCCGATCCTCTCTGGTTCGCACGCCACTATACAGACTCCTCGCCCAACTGAAGTATACAGATGCGCAAGCCGTGAACAGAAGCAGCCTTTTCCGCTGAGCAGCCACGAACGTAGATTTCGTTCATGAGAACTCTTCAGGGAAACTGCTTGCCAGAATGGCTGCAAACAAAGCTTGAAATGGGAAGCACTAGATAACAGAAATTTTGTATTCGTCGAAGCTTGGGGATGTTGACACGCCGTCATGGGACGTGTCTCGATCGTTCGACCCCACCTTTACTGCAAGAGCTCCAGGTATGCCGAGGGGGTCGCCTTGAGCGCGTTGCCGGAAGTGTCAGGCCCTCAAAGGAGAACAACAAGAGGAATGGTTTTGTTGTGAGGCTTGTGATGCGAAGGACAAGGTTGGGTTCGCGAGGCGCTTCGGCATTCGTAACGAACCAGTTGGATAGTGCAAGCGACACACACATCTCAGGGATTGGGCAAGTCACATTGTAATATGGGTTTGTTAGGTGCTGGGCGGTGGCATTCTTGATCGGTTATGCCTTACGCACAGAAGGTTCCGGCTTGTTTCACCGCACGCTGATTACTTTGCCAAAATTCTTCATCCACTTGACTCTGTGCGGTAGCTTCTGCTCGTAAGACCTAAGATTACTGCTACCGCCAGAGCTGCTTCTGCTTTTCGTCGCCGTCGCCATGGTCGTAGTTTTGCATTCACTAGGAGGAGGAGGAGGCGGAGGAAGAGGAGGAGGCCGAGGACGATTCGAAGACGACCACGACGATCAGGACCAGGCTTGAGGAGGAGGAGGAGGAGGAGGAGGAGGAGGAGGAGGCAGGGAACGATGGCGAAAACGATGGCGGGAAACAACAACCATGCCCGCGACCAGCGAATATCTGCGCATCAGCCCAGGCACCGCGCGGTGGCGGCCGAGGGCTCGGAGCTCGTGATGGGCCGTCTGGTGCAGGTCGGCGGCTTCTGGGACGCTCTGGTGCCCGAGCTGCCCGGCTTTGGAGTGCAGGGTACTGCAATGAGGAAGTTTCACACTTTGTGCGGCTTTCCCTGTAGCGCACAGGTTCGTGGTTTCCGCTTTGCAGATGCTATGAGATTTCGTTTTTTCGACTTGGTGTGAATCGTTGTTGACTTGACAAGCGTCCACGGCGTCCCCTTCTGTTCTTCAAAGGGCACCCAGAACAGTGTTTAAAATGCTGGTGCACTCTAAGGAAAGACCTGCAGACCAGGCGGGTTCGGGAGAAGCTTTCAAGGGTTCCTTACAACCAGTGCTGCGCTTTCTGACAAAATTTGGGGTCTCGGTATTGCTGCTCGTGGCAGCGGCGAGGTCCATTTGTTCAACGGGGTCCCAAAAGCCCCAAAGCCAAAAGCCTTCCGACGCCTATGTGCTGGCAGGGTGTCTCGAAAGCACTTCAAGCTCTCGTGCCGTATGCTGTCTTTGGGGGATGGCCGCTGCCAACCCGCGACCTAGTTGATTTCAGAGGGGTAAGAAGTTAGGGTAATGGATTTAGTATAGGGGTTTAGGACTTTCTGCGATCCGACCTGCCATGAGTGCGTAAGTGACGCCGAGGCGTTTTTCGTGTGACGCGGCAGCAATAGCTTGCTGGCTCTTCTGCCTTTTCAAGTTTCTGTACTCCCTAAACTAAACCCTAAACTGTTGATGCATTCGTGACGATTCCTGCTAGTGAAGTCTCACTCGTCAGACTCCTAACCACATGCCTCGCCTGGATTGTCCGAGTGTGAGCGCCGAAACCCTAAATTTTCTGTACTGGACATCATGGTTTCGCTGGCTATCTTGTGCTGGCTTTCTGCTCAAAGCCATAACGTTTGGCGGAAGTGGTTGCTTGAGCCGAGCACAAAGTTTCCTAATCAGTCCGAAAGAACCTGGAACCCACCCACCGGGAACCTCTAATATGGGAGCCTTAGTGACTACCTATACTACTTGGGGATTCCTTATAACAGTTCGAATATTATGGGCCCCAAAACCCTATTCTAACTATTAAGGCCCCTCTTTCCTAGCAGCACGGGGGAGGATCCCTCGCCAGCTCGGATTCAGATTTGACAGTCTCCGTTTTGTTTTTGCCTCAGCTGCCACTCACGAAGCCCAGGAGCTGCTTGTCCCAAAATGGGCTCCTGGTGAACGGAAGATATCTGGGACCAGATCTGGAGCAGCGGACGCTTCAAAGAACGAGACGGGGATTCGTAAGGCAACTTACAGGGCTTTTGGCGACATTTTGCCCGTGTACATCTCGAATCCGAAGCCTGAAGCCGTGAAGCAGAAACCCTTGTGCTTTGCTAGCCTCTAAGTCTGTGCTGTGACTTGTCGAGCACGAGTGACAAAAAAGTCTGTGCTGTGAGATGCACCATCCACCCAAAGGTACACTCGTTTCGATGCTTGATGGGGCTTTGATGCCCTGCACTTTCTCATCCGGACTCTGACAATTGTTCCCTCCTACTTAGCAAGGACGAAGCCCGCATTGCAGGGTACTTTGGTTGGACAGCTGAAAGCGGCTACAGCTTTCGTAGCTTTCGTAACCAATTAATCAAACTCCCGCCCGCAAGTGACATGTGACTCAGAAGCGAGAGCGATAGATCCATCACGGATGGGTTCAGGGGTTTAGCGGTTGAAGGGGCTTTGCACTCCACCGTCACGGCACTGCGACTACTACCGCTTCCGCTACCGCTGCCGCTGCTGCTTGCACTGCCACAACGACCGCGACCGCGACCGCTACCCCTTCCGCTCCCGCTCCCTGACCCTACCACCCCGACTCCCTACTCCCACCGCTGCTGCTACCCCTGCCAGTACCACGGCCACTGCCACTGCCACTAGCGCTGGCACTACCACGCCCTCTACTGCTACTCCTGCTGCTGCTACTACAAGTACCACTGGTCACCACAAGCAATACATTCAATGCATACTACGAGTACCGCAAGTACTACCAATACAGAACACATACACATCTCCCACCGAGAAGGAACATGTTGAGAATGGGTATTCGTGATGATGGTCTTGCCCAAGAGTATTGGCCACGACATGCCACGACAGTAAGGCCAATTACGCTCACGATCCCATCCATAGCCATATTGATTTCCGTAGTGGCAGCATTGTCAAAAGACTGGTTGGCCATGATTGGCCACAAGCTACCGCTGTAAGTTGCCAGCAGCCACGCAAGGATCGAGCATGGAGCTCAGCTGGGGCTTGGTATTGAAACACTGGCGACTAGCAAGTCGCAGCCCGACGCCCGGCTATGTTCAATCCGACTTTTCTTGTTGGAGCGCTGACGTGGTCGGGTTCAGGATCGGCGGCTTGTCACAGAACAAGTGCTCTCAGGGGAGGTTGTGGAGGATTTCTGAGCGAGCCTGTAGCACTAACTGTAGCAGTAGGGGCAGGCCTCTGTGGCGAGCCATGCCGCACCGATGAGGCGAGTTTTAAGGGGTTCCTTGCAACAAGGATCCTACTACTTAGGGTACAAGATTAGGGTCCCCTCTTTTTCGGAAACCCCCATATAGCACCATGATAAGGATCCTACTATTTAGGGTACAAGATTAGGGTCCCCCATTTTCGGAAACCCCCATGAGGCGAGCATGATGTCTGTGGCCACCGTTGCAGCGTGGCGGCCTCCTTCTCTGAAGCCTTTCGTCGTCTTCGAGCTGGAGGTTGGCCGGGCTGTAGATGGGGATGAGCTTCCTGAAAAAGCCTAAACAACTGCCTATGCTGTTTTGGGGGTTCCTTATTCTAATCATAGTTTAATATATTCCCCCAAACCCTAGTCTAATTATTTAGGAATTTAGGCCCCTACATCACAGTACCCTTATGGATCCCTTATATCAGCCCTCATAGACCGCTTAAAAGGAACCCTATTCTAGCTATTACGGCCCCTACACTGCAGTTAGAGCAGCTAGAGCAGCTGCAAGGTGCTAGACCAGACGCAGAGAGCAGATCCCAAGACGATTGTGCCGGTGGTGCCTTGGCAGAAATCGGGTAGAGATTATGGTTAGGGAAACTCTCCGGAAGACGATGGGGACGATCAGATGCTTGGTTTCGCTGTTGTTTTGTCCAGTTCCTTGTCGTCTTGGTAGTTGTCGGAGTCGTGGTAGTTGTCATTACGGTCATCGTAGTCGTCGTCGTGTTCTAGTGGCGGCTGCAGCTACTCGTTGTGTCGATTCCAGGGTCTATCCTGAACGGCCAGCAGCAGCTGCTGCCGCCGCTGCTTCTGCTGCTACTCTCCACACTACCTCTTACAACTATACTTCTGCTGCCGCTTCTTCGGTCGTAGCGTCTGCTGCTTGAAGTTTGCCTACTACCTGTGCAGCCTGTACTTCTTTCACTTTCTCTGTCACGATCACTTTCGCTTCTCCCTTTTGACCTCGACTGGGAGGCTCAGCAAGCCGTGGTGATTGACCGGGCCACGCCCCTGGTGTTCCCACGCGCATCCGGTGCTTCACCCTGCTTTGGTGGAGGAGCTCTCAAAGGGGTTTCTGCATAGCGCAGGTTCAGAGGGAGTGTTCAGGGTTGGGGTTTAGATTCGCAGCGGTCCAAAGGACAAGCATCTAAGCCTCAGCCAAGGCATAAGTTTTAAACGCGGCAAGACACAGCTGATTGGCGGTTGTCGTCGGATGCTCCGTAATGTGTGCTGGGCCATGTGCAGATTTCGCCAGCCGTGCAGATCATCCGTGCCCGGTGCATAGTGCCAGGAGGGCAAGGACTCCCAAGTGCAGGAGGCCTCCCAACTGGAACGGCATCACTGTACCCCTTTTCGCAAGCGGACTCCATGACGGCGCCGCCAGAGTCACGCAGATGCACGTGGCAGATTGTCCGGTTGCCGTTGCTGCGAAGACTGCTGGCGCTGCCGATCTGCTTGACATTGCCTGAGGTGCTTCGCGCTGCAGAAAGCGGCCCGGATGAAGTATCCTCAATTCTGCGCTGTTCGACTGTAGGCATCGTGCTCGTTGACTTTTGACTTGGTGTCTGGCAGAAGTACGAGTCGCATCCAGTCAGCCCTTGTGTGATGGTCACCTGGAGTCCGAAACAGATTTGTATGATTATATAGCCCATTTGTTTCTGTCTTCGGGCCCCTCTCCGACGAGTTGCGTTATATGCAGGTTGTCTCGGCGGGTTGACAGTGCAACAACTCGACAACGACAACACCAGCATGTCACTAGTGTGCCCACCCGTCCTGGTGAGACGTTCAATGGTTCATTGGTGTAGAGCTCGCTTTGGCTCGGGGACCCGGCTGAGGACAGTCAGCTTTGCCAGTCGCAGCTGGACAGCACTCAAGATGTTGTGCTCTCAGAGGGTCGTGTGATGTTGCCGTCTCGCGACACGAGGCCGCTCGTCAAGTTCTTCAAGTCCCAGATGGGCTCGTGAGCGTGATTTTTGTCTGCAGTCTTGCAGCCACAGCAGTGCTTGCGCTTGTGTGACGTTGCTCCATCAAGGCAGTGCTCAAACTTCTGTAGGACCCCAAAAAGCACATAAGCAAAAATTCGGATAGGGATATCCCATATAAACCCCCTTATAAAGAACCCCAGTAAGGTAGGGATATCCCTATAAAATTCTTATGCTTATGTGCTTTTTGGGTCCCTCATTCTGTACGGCCCGGCATATAGATCCATACCAGATCGAAGTCATAGATCTGGACATAGTTCGCCATGCCCCACGCCCATCTTGCCCGAGCAGCAATCAGTCAGCACGGAAGTCATGCCACAGACTTGGTTTCGTTCGAGGTGTCGGTGCCGCAGTCTGGCTGCAAATTACCACGGTAAGGGTTCGTGCTGTGCACAAATATCCTGTTCTGGTGCTTTTGTACGGTTGGTTGCGGGTAGGGAATTAACGGAAGTGCTGTACATATTAGCATGCGGATGCTGTGTGCTTTCGGCTGCTGGAATTAGGGTGGGCAGCTTGTTGCATGCACCCGGGCCAGGAGATGTCATGAATGCCTGTCGATAGGATTTGAGTAACGAGGCCAAGACTTCAACAGATGTTCCGAGAGACCGAAACATACATGTGGTATTGAAGTTTCCAAGAACTGCTGGCCCCCATGCTCTCGATATAAGAGTCATCTGTGTCATCCGGTCCCAGCACAGGCTGCAGCAATTGGCTCACCCGTAGATGTTAATGCTGCGCATGTCTCTGAAAGGGCTGCGGTCATTCCGGATCCGGTCATGCCACTTCACTGGCAGGCGCTTTCAGATTCATGGTAGGTGGGCGAAGCCCGAATTTGCACTGCCTTGACCCTTTACGAATCCTTCTTTCGAAGCATAGCTTGCAACTCGTCAGGAGGGATGTTGAAGCCAACAACCATGCCTCGCACAAATCGCTGCACTGCTCTACTACTGATGCTTTCGCTTCCTTTCTGCAGCTGCTACTACCACCAATACCACTACTACCACCAATACCACTACTGCTGCTGCTGCTGCCGCTGCTGCTACTTCTGCTACTACTACTGCCGCTGCTGCCGCTGCTACTGCTGCTGCTGCTACTGCTGGTACTGCGACTGCGACTGTGACTGCGACTGCGACTGCTACTGCTCCTCCTGCTGCTGCTGCTGCTACTTACTGCGACAACTACCATTACTGCTGCTACCACAACAGCAACAATACTACTACTACTACTACTACTACTACTACTGCTACTACTAATTAAATACTAATTACCAGTTACTGATGACTAACCACTAATTACTAATCACTAATCACTAATCACTGGTTACTGCTTACTAATTACGAACTACTAATTGAGAATTACTAGTTACTAATCACTACTTACTACTTACTAATTACTAATCACTAATTGCTACTTGCTAGTTTCTAAATACTAGTTACTATGTCTAATTATTACCAGCTACTACTACTACTACTACTACTGCTACTACTACTACTACCACCACTACTACTACTACTACTACTACTACTACTCCTACTGCTACTGCTACTGCTACTGCTGCTTCTACTGCTACTACTACTACTACTACTACTACTGCTACTGCTACTACTACTGCTACTACTACTACTACTACCACTACTACCACTACTACTGGGTGACAAAAAACCACTACTACCTACTACTACTACTACTACTACTACTACTACTACTACTACTACTACTACTACCACTACCACTACCACGACCACGACCACGACCACGACCACGACCACGACCACTACCACTACCACTACCACTACCACTACCACTACCACTACCACTACCACTACCACTACCACTACCACTACGACGACGACTACTACTACTCCTAGTCCTACTATGTGTCCAAGATTCCTCCGAGAAGTTGCCGTAATTTCAATGAGAACTGCCAAATCTAATTGCACTTGATCTAGAAAGTGTGAGACTCCGGCAGTTCTCACATGTTCTCACTGGATGAACAGTAAGGGGGCTGGGCCAACTTGCTCGACTACTGCAGAGAGCCTGCCGGCTTCAATTCAAGCGACCCTGCGGCTCTAAGCTGTGCATCACAAAGTCATGCATTCATCACGCAATCCTCTGCCGACCTGCTTCTGTGAGCACAAGGTTGTCAAGACATCGGTTTGGAGAATGATGGTGGTGACGGAGATGATGATGACGATGATGCTGGATAGTGGTGGCAGCGATCTCGTTCTCAACAAGACGTGTCTTGTGTTTCTTGGTGTTTTTGTTTGTTGGTGTCGTCGTCGTTGTGCTTGTGGTTGTGGTTGTGGTGGTGGTTGTTGTTCAGATTTGGCATCCAGAATGCTCAGTTGGGCGGGTTAAGGAGCGTTTAACCCGTAGAAAAATGTAGGTTTCTCAACCGGTAGAAACTAGCCAAAGCAAGGTTGGGTACTGCTATTGCTTCGGGTGTTTTTGCCATGAGTTCCGTGTCTTTCAAAGGCGAGGCCGGAAGACTGAGCCTTTCAAAGCTCGGGCTGGGACGTCCCATCTGCTTGCCGTCTTTAGCCCAAGAACTCGTGCCAGCCTCTTCGGACCCTTTGCCGGGGCGAGAGAGAGCAGCCATGGCTTCCATGGTCTCAAAAGAGTGGCTGGGCCTGAAAATCAGAGGTCGAAGAGGCGAACGCGAGGAATCTTCGTATGTTGTAGTGTTTGCACCTTTCATCTGTTCATGATGCTCGCGATGCGGCACGAACATCAGCCAAGCAGGCCAAGAAGGTTACGGCCAAAGCCAAGCAGCCCGAGCACATGGATCATGTCACTTCTGTTTTGGAAACCTTGCATGCCAGGGGAAACCGACTGCGAACCAAGAGACCTCAGAGCATTGAGAGCGTAAACCCCAGGAGCCCTGCGTGTTGTTGGATGAACGCGGGCCTGCACGACAACTTTGATGAGTCGGTTTCACCGGTTGTCTCCAGGACCAACTAGGGTCTGGGCTTTTTGTCGTGTGAGTGTATAGGGTGGTGGTCCTAGGAGGTGACTGCTGTGGATGGAGTAGAACTGTATGATGGTGTTTTACCAGTGGCGTAACTTGCAGACTCTCCCACTTCGGGTGCCATACGCCCTTTCATTATTCAGACAGTCTTGACAGACCTTCCCAGACCAGGGCTTGATCGAGTGCAAGTATCAAAGCTCCAGATCCGGGGAATCCGGAACTCCCCAAACCCCAAAACCTTTATAGCAAGGCTAAACAAGCGTGAAGAGAGCCCCCGAGGGTTTTGGGTTTACTACTATATATATATATATACACATACTTACGCACTATAATATACGATAACCTCCTAGACTATATCATAAGCTCCTATAACATACTTGGGAACCCTTATAGATGCCTTACAGCGGCCTGGAAAGACCCCTTAAAGGAACCCTTAACTCTAAACCTTAAACCCTAATCCCGAAACCCTAAACCCTAATCTCTAAACCCCAAACCCTAAACCCGAAAGGCTACACGTGAAGAGAGCCCCGAGGAAACCGACCTACGAGTCGGTCATGGCTTGCTTTCGGAAGCACCAGGCAGCCGCAGCTCGCCCCGGATGGCTGATCAGAGCTTAGGGGTTCAGGGGTTTAGGGTTTAGGGTTAAGTTTGAAAGTTAGGGCTTTGGGTTAAGGTTTAAGTTTAAAGGTCAGGGTTTAGGGTTTAGGGTTGAGGGCTACAAGACGATTGTGGGTCGTAGACTGGCTAGACTTGGGTCCGGTGGCAAAAAGGGTTGAGGGCTGCACAACAACCAGGCCTGCTGCACAAAGGGTTGAGGGTTAAGTGTTACGGTTTCTTGCTGTTTGTTCTTGATCGCCGTTCTCCTCTCCTGTCGTCATGGAGACGCGAGTATCTAGAGTGGCAGTAGCTATGGCACGTACTGTGAAGACTTTGCATTTGTCGCAGCAGCAGTTCTTTCATATCGAAGAAAAGTGTTATTAGCAAGAGCAAACGCAGTAACTTTGACGCTATAAACCCACTTCTTGAGCGACGGTGGGTAGCAACGAGGGAGGACTACCTTCCTCTTGTCTTTATCGTTGCGTTAGCAAGCTTGCTGCATCATTGCCTCTGTTCTCATGGTGATATTAAGATGATTGCTGAATTCTTGTATCCAGCAAGGGTGACGATGTGTTGGACTGGGCCGTCTTCTGCGACGTGCTGCAGAGCTTGGATCCCGACTTTTGCAGCTCTGCCTCACTCAGCACACCAGGGCTCATGCAATGTTTACAGGCCCTAGCCCAGACATTGCCTTAGTCAATCGAAGGCCTATGTTCCAAATCTCAGCCCGGAAGTCCTGGTTGCTTTAATCGCGCTTGTTGGCAGAGATCGACTTCAGATCGCACCGTGGTTTGTCTGTCAGTTTCTTTCCACGATGGAATTCGAGTTTGTGTTTCCAATTCCACGTATGCTGCAGCCCCAGGCACGGATGCCCTGCTAAAAGAGCTACGCTCGCGCTTCTTCGCTCCTGGAGACGACAAGCCTCCGGGCATCGACAAGGGCGCCGTGCCGGTAAAGGTGGAGGTGGGGCATCTGGAGCCAGCAAGACCCACTGCATGTAGAGAGACTGCGGTGGCGCATCAAGCATTCACGACCTTGCCGAACGGCCAGTGACTAGTGCAGCGCAGGAGGCGAAGCATAGAGGTCCTTGGCATAAGAGGCTTAGACAGATAAAGCACGACAGTGAAAGAGTGGCCTCTTCAACAGTGGTGCAGCTACCAGTTGACAGGATGTGGTGATGTGGATCTTCGACATTCAAGAAGGAGAAGCGCGTAAACCTTCAGAGCTGCCCAGATTCAAATCGGCGTTTTACACATGTGCACATATTCCCGCAGAAGGGCGTGAGCTGCGTTTTCCACTGGCTGGGCCCTGTAACAGATCTCCTTGAGAGATGCTCGTGCAGCCAGTTTGCGTCAACTTACGTAAAGGCGCGCACGTCTGAAAAGGTTTTCGTCTGGCTTGTCGTCTTGATACCGCAGCATTTTTCGTGGACTCCCTGCGGCTGACATGGGCAACGGAGCCAGATCACGGTTTTATTAGTATTGTTATTATATATATACACACACACCACGCCAAGATATGAAACTATATGATTATATAGCTGATTGTATGATAAACAAAATGTGAACCACGATCGCCTCTGACAGCTACCCGAGCCACAAACCACAGATGCCAGCCCATTGCCGCGTGGTTCCACGGTCATAGTAGCTTTGACAATATCCAAGCTTGCAGTGTGAATCCCTCGGCTTTGTGTGAAAGAGACTTGCAGCGACTCCGTCCATCCCGGGTTCCTGCTCCGACGGAAATTCAGACAAGGCCCTGCCAATCCACATCTGAACAACTGGCTCACCGCTCGAACTCTGAAGCGCAGTCCACCGCGGATGTCTTGTTTTTCCGCCTTGCATCCTGGTGTTCAGATGCCCGGAGTTTCCTGGTCAAGAGTCATGACCCCACACTCACGTCGCGAAAGAGGTGTATGATGGCACAGGACCTTCCCCTATGATATCGACAGCAGAGCTGTGTCTTTGTTAGAATGCGTCACGCCTGGATACATGCAGCAGCCGTGCACACGCTTGCGCATGCAAGCGAGATCACGCGAGTCTCTCCTTTTCTCTTTTTTTGTTTCTTGTTTTTTTTTCTCTCTCTCTGTCTCTCTCTCTCTCTCTCTCTCTTGCTCCTTCTCTGTACGCACGGTACGGCTACTGTACAGTTTCATCAGGAGCTGTGCCCTCCATCAAGCGGTCCATCTCCTTGAAGAAGCAGTGCCCCAGCCGGCATGGGTTCCATGGAAATGTGAGAGTTCCCGAAATTTCGGGGTACCTTATTTTGGTGTGCTTAGAGTAAGGATCCTACTCTTTAGGGTAGTATATTAAGGTCTCCTATTTTCGGAAACCCTCACGTGGATTTGCATTGACTTTCCGCTTCCAAAATGCTTCTTTCTCCCGCCCCCAAGTCCCGGCCTGAGAGACCACTCGAGTACGGGAGCACCAGGCACTCAAAACTCAAACAATGGATGCCCCCCAGGCAGCATGATCCAGCCTCGAATCGTAAATTCTCACTCTCTCACTGCAGATCGGCAAAAACACAAGCCGCTATGGCAGGTGAATCGTAAACCCTAAATCCTAAACCTTTATGTAACCCGTAAACCCAAAACCCAAAACCCTTAGGGAAAAAAGCCCTTAAGCCTTAGAACACCTCAGGCCCTTTGCCACCTCTGCTCAGGAAGACGGGAGAACTTGAAGAGTCAGCCGAGGAAGGCGAAGCAATTCGGGCGCGAACGGCTGCCGGCTCCGTGGTAATGTCAGTTCCAAGAAAGGACGGGCCTGCGGTTTATAAGAGAGGCAGGGTTCGGGCTTGAGGATCTAGATTCATTACCAGAGGATGGTGTCCAAAATCAGTGATTTCAGCTTGGGCAAAGGTTGTTGCTGTAAAGTCGTCACCCGAGGCTGCCGGCTAAGCCTGCTGTCCATGTGGTACTGCGCAAGTTGCGTCGAACGACTTGGATACGAGTTGTGCAGAAACGATTGGTGCTGCCATGTCAAGTGCTCTGTGTTCAATCTTACCGCCCTGCAGGACCTTGACAAGACAGTGGGGCAGCTGCGGAAGGATTCCAGCTTGGATTGGTGGGGTATGGTATCTCCATCTCTATCTCTATTTCCATTTGATTTGTATGTCTTCCTCTATCTCTACCTCTATCTTTACCTATATCTAAATATACATCGATATTGCAGTATTGCATTTCCAAATCTATATCTGTACCTGCATCTATGCCTATAGCCATACCTATCTGAACCTGCATTTATACTTTTACCTGAATGTAAACCTGTCTAGATCTTTATCTGTATTCGTATCTATTCTGTATTCGTATCTATGCCTACTATACCTATATCCATGCCTTTATCTGGTCTATATCCATATTTGGACCCTTGACTCTTTCTAGATCGTTATGCATTTCTATCCATATCTGTGCATGCATCCATATCCATATCCATATCCGTATCAATATCCACGTTTACATCATTATCTGTATCTACATATATGGAAATAGACACACCTGCGTATTTGCATATATATATATATATATACATACACCTCTCCCCATATATATATATACACATATATTTCTGTATTTGTGTACCTTTGCCTCTGTCGCCATGCATGTACCCAATGTACCCAGGTCGCATCCACACGAAGTCACGCACAGACACGCAAATTTATACAAATGTCTACATACATGTCTGACTAGCTATCACTTTGAACTCCTACCAATCGGTCTTTCTATCCGTATATCCACCTCTCTTCTCTAAACCGAACATCCGATAGAGCATTGATAAAACACAGGCGAATCGCCTGCACACATGCATACATACATACATACATACATACATACACCAGAAAATTCGGATCTAGACCCAAGCTCCCAGGTACTAAGGTGCTGGGCATTGAAGTTAGAAGCACTCTTTCCTAAGTTGCAGCAAGGACGTGGCTGACGTGTTTCAACGCTGCATCGATGAAATCAAGTTCGTGCTCGACCAGCGGCAGCTCGAGGTTCAGGGCTTAACCTTTTGTAGGTTTGCCCTTCTGGCCTTGAGTTTCAATGCCGGAGTGGCACCAGGCCAGCGGAATCTCGATGCAGCTTTTTGTTGCAGTTTTTCACCCTCGCGAAGAGATCTTGTGCGCTCTTGCCAAGCTGAAGGATGATGAGATATCTCGGACATTGCTGCGCGGTGAGGACGCCCGATCTAGGCGACACAAAAAACACCCTAACTTTTGCAGAGACAAGTGCAATTAAGATCAGATGCTGACTTGAACCTGGCTCCGGTCTTCCTGCCCCTTGCTGTGTTTGGAAGGATGTTCTGGAATTGCTGGTCGTGACGCAGCAGATCCCCCAGTTCGACGGGAGCATTCCTGCAGTGGAGCAGCTTTCCACGCTGATCCTTGGTGGATGGGTAGTCCCTGCAGCGGCCAGCACTATCACTACCTTCCGTCTCGTCCCAAAGCACCCCCAGTGTCCAGTAGGTGCTTGGTAGTTTGCAACTGCTTTTTGCCATGCTGCAAGCTTCAGTGGTCGGCTTCGTCGAGTATTGTGTGCAGCTGGTGCCACAAATAAGGAAAGCAATGCTGATGCGATGGCCTCGGAGTTCAGTTTGTGCACAACAGTTCTTGTAGCAGTCGCAAAACTCACAACTAATATAGGGGCTTAAACAAGTACCCATACTATATTGGACTATATTTATAATAAGTTAAGGCCCCTATATCAGCAGCCTACAAGTGAAAAAGTTGTACCCGGACATCGGAGCGATGATTTGGTGGTTTGGGTTGCGACTGTCGCTTTCTCGTTTGTTGCATCACAGAAGGCTAACCGATGGAAGCGGCTACTTCCGCAAACCTTAGCTTACTCCTTCTTCGTCATTGCAAGGTCATCCTCGATGGAGTACCAGATTGACGCAGCCACTCACCTTCGAAAAATTCTCAGCGTGGAGCGGGATCCGCCGACACCTGTCTCAACAGAAAAGTCCTTTTGCGACCGGGTTGGTCTTGGGGTCTTGGGAATTTGTCTTGAGGCCGGCTTCCCCCTAAATCCTAAACCCTGAACCCTTTTACTTGAGGCAGGCTTCCCCATGCGCTAAGGCTATGCAGTCCTGAGGTGGCAAGCCATGTCTTTCAGGATCCTGAATCCCTCGACTCCAGGGCCTGTAGTCAGCTTTTCTTACAACCCTTATAGTACCTTCTTGTTTCTCGTGGTAGCCCGCTTAGACCAAGATTTTCCTCATTTGCTCGTCATTTTGCTATTCGTCCAATTTTGAGTGCCGATGTTTCAGGCTACGGCAGCGGAAAGTTTGAGAGAGCTCCAGAAGCCTCGGAACGCCCCGAGGATTGACAAGGTACTCACCCTCGGCGTCGCACCGCGCCTCCTCGAGCTGAGTCAACAGATGCTCGGACTCTTGAGAGGATATGTGGAACTGGGCCCCAAGGCCTCGAGCCTATTTTGGCTCAAGAGGCGGCTTTCAAGCAAACGATGCCCGGGATCTGTCCCCACACAAATCAGCTTGTGGAACAATTCAAGTGTAGCTTAGCTCACGGTTTGAGAAGCAGCTCTTAGGCTCGGATCTCCTGGGGTTTGTCTCGTCTAACCACCATAATGGCCATACCAAACCCTACGCCTTTGCTTGGTTTGCTGCGTGTTGCCTGGCATTGCCCAGGATGGATGCGCCGACACCTGGCAGCCGGAAGGGACCTTCATGGATGTTTGAGGCTTGTGGCTACTAGGGCTCGTGGGATCTTGTGTTGAACTTTTAGATTGGTGGTCTTATCTGCTTGTGACGCGTTTGTTGTGCTATCCAGCTTTACAGGGCTTGGGCTTTATTCGGTGTTTCTAATCTTGCGGTGCAGTATGCAGATTTTGTTATCATATTACGCTGCGTCATCAGTGATAGAGGACGAATTTGAGACATCAGCCAAGGAAGCTGCAGTTTGAGACGTTGTGGGCCATCTTGAACATTGTCTCGGGAGATGTTCACCAGACGCAGGCACTGTGCTTCCGGTGACTTCGGTTTCTTTTTCTCTGGTGGGCTTGCTGTGTTTTTTCATGGGAGCCAATCAGCAGCTTCTGCGCGGAGCACCGCGCTCCGTCTTCCCCGGCTGGTTGTCTTTGTCCGAACTTAGGCAAGTCAAGATTTGCCACCCTGTAGCCTTGCAACCAATCATCCAAGCCGTCTACGACCCTTGAAAACGCCGGGGTGCTGGGAAGCTTATGTTTCAGAGTTGAAGAGGCAATCGTCGATCTCGACGCCGTCCCGATCATTACCAGTCTCCTGAGAGACTGCACGAACAGCGATGTCGCGTGGCTGATTCGCCGATGTGGTTGCTGCCCGATGTCCTAAGGCACAAGACCCATCAGAAATCTTCAGAGAGAGAGAGAGAGAGAGAGAGAGAGAGAGAGAGAGAGAGAGAGAGAGAGAGAGAGAGAGAGAGAGAGAGAGAGAGAGAGAGAGAGAGAGAGAGGAGAGAGAGGGAGAGAGGGAGAGAGACAGAGAGAGGGAGAGACAGAGAGAGTGAGGTAGATCAGACAGATAGTCAGATAGATGGATAGATAGATGGATTCATAAGTACAGATAGATCGATAGACCGATAGACCGACAGACAGAGAGACAGACAAACAGACAAACAGACAGACAGACAGATAGATGGATAGACCTCGCTGTTTGTGTATGTGCATGTTGGTATACATACATATTTGGACATGTAACAGAAACAGACGTACAAACATTACACATATACACGCGCCGTTGTTTGCATGCAGATGTGTAGATACGCCGTGAACCTTCAGTCCACTTACCTAAGGTATCCGAGACCTGACAAAGCCGCTGAACCTTTATCTTGCGGCTTTGAATCCCCCCAAAGCCTAGAACACTCGGTCTTCAGGCTTGGCTTCGATGTTTTTTTGGGTTTTTCGTCCTCTTCTATGAAGCTGAGCTTCTGGCCCAGGTGCTCGAGCAGGGTGTCTGGGCTCTGGGAAACATCGCAGGCCGGGGGCCGTCGGGATGGGGGGCCTTCGCATGCGGGGCGTGTGTAGCAAACCAGTGTGTTGTCACGAGCTTTCTGTTTCAGCCACCGGGTGGATGTTCGCCGGTTGCGGGACAGGTGACTCTGTGCAACACAGAGACCTGTGCATTGAGCCCTGGCCAAGCAAGAAGCACACATTCAACAGCGCTGTCGGACTTACCTCTTTTGGACCGCTCCTCGCACGACGACACCATACTGTAATCAAGCCTGAGAGCCTCTAAGTTTCAGCTTCTACTTGTATAGCCTTTCCAGCCCTGCTCTCTAAGTCCACTGGCTCGTTGACCGAAGCGGCTGGGCTGCAACTGTCGAAGTTGGGAGTTTGCTGGCAACTCGTGGCTTCATGGAGTCGGAGAAGTAAAGAGGGACATAATGCATTGGATGCGTCTTGAGCTGAGGTGCTCAAGGTCTTGGAGGGCACCACCAAGATGCTTGGACAGACCGAAGAAGAATTCTAGGGGACGACTTCAGGTTCCGGCGGGGGTGGAGCCGGCATCCTGGGTCTTGCGGCAGTGATCAGACATTCGTTTTGTATTGGCAATGGAGATGGCAAACAAGGTCTAACAATCTGTCATGAATTCACCGTCCGCAGCAACTTGGGTGGGAGCACAGCTAACACGAAGACGCAGGGATGTGTCACTCTTTTTCCAATTTCGTTCTTGCGCATTGTTCTCTAGCTAGTCTGGTGCTTCACGGCATGCGGGTCGACGGAGGGGGACGAGTATTGCAGCCTGCTTCGGTTCAAACCTTGCACCATTATTGATCAACAGCCCCAGCCAGTTGCCAACTGCCTTCAAGAAATGTATTTAGACGTCGAAGTGACCCTAAAACCACACAAGTCGAAAACCCAAAAGCTTCCCGTCCTAAACCCGAAACCCTAAACCCCAAACCCTAAGACCGCCCAGGTAGGAGGGAAAAAATCCTAAGCCCTACGCTTGCATTTGGTTAGTAGGGAATGGAGGAATGGGGTACAAGTATAACTACTATTACTACCATTCCTCCATTCCCTACTAACCCAAGGTAAGCAAGGCCTAACTCCTAAACCACCGCACTCTTCCCAGGACCAGCTGCATCCGGAACGCTACCTGGACCGTCTCCAACTTCTGCCGGGGCACACCGAAGCCGAGCCTTGAGGTCAGGATTGGAAAAGTGTGTGTGTGTGTATACATATATATATATATATGTACATACTTGTATGTATATGTATATATATATATACACACATATATGCATACTATTATACCGTAGATACTGTCTATGTAAATGCGGGGGTCTTGGTGAAGAGGTTATGTGTTCGGGGAACATCTCAGCAAGGTTGGCTCGTAATGTGTTGTTTCGTGTCAGTGTAGGGACTGCCACGGTATCAGAACGACGGCGCCGTGCGGCGATCTGCAGTGCTGGATTATGGGTCCCATGAATTGAATGTACGGCGCCCCAAACCCTAGATTCACAGATGTTTCAGTCCTTCAACTCCATTGATCCGAAAGCGAATCCTTCTCCATGTGCAGGCGATGCTTCCGGCACTGCCGGTCATGTCTCGAGTGCTGTACAGCACAGACCAGGACTTCGTGAAATGGAGACGAACTCATGTTTTAGCTTACGCCGTGGGAGACTCTGCGGGGTCCGTTGACGTCCACTCACGTGCCTAGGTAGGCTCCGGCAATCGACGGGCTGTGGTTGTGTAGGCATGGTAGGCATGCACACAAGCCTGACATGTGATTAGGGATGCGCCGAAGACGCAGAGCTTCGTGTCATCCTGACATGTGCATGCACAGGCCACGAACCCTGGCCGCCCTAGCCCCGAAGCCACATGCGGTGCTTGGGCAGGAAGTTCTGACAGATGCCCTTTGGACGGTCTCGTACGTCTCCGACGGTACAGAGAGATACATCCAAGCAGTTCTGGCTTCTCGGCCCATCAGGCGGTAACAGCTGGGTGGTTGTCAAAATTATGGTCCCCTTTTTGGGTTCCTATTATAATACGGCACCTAATATTTAGGGTGCCCAAAGAGGAACCATAATTTTGACAACTACCCAGCTAGGAAAGCAAGTACCTTGTAGACCCCTGATTTCCCAATGCTTCGATTCCCGGCGTCACTGCTTTGATCCAGCGGAAGCTGATACATCTTCCATACCATTCATCACGAGACGTCATACGCCAGCTTCTGCCAAATCTTAGCCATTAGGTATTACATAATCGATGTTAAGTATTAGAGAATAGACTGTAGCCAGTGGTGCTGCAGCTTGGCACGATGCCGTTGTTGCCTGTCACCTTCCCCGGCCGACTTCCCAAGCCCGGATGCAAAATCAACGAAAGCATTAGATAGTGCTTGTTGCATATTGGATAGTACTTGTTGCATATTAGATAGTACTTGTTGCATATTTGGCCATCCCGGATCTTGGAGCAACTGTGCCGCGAGAGCTGAGGACGCCGGCGTCTGTCGGAGGCCGGCGACTCAGACGATTGTTGGGCGCATGCCCAAGACATGGGCTGGGGTTTAAGGCAGGCTAGGGCTTAGAGCCCAGCTGCAAAGGGGTTTAGGGATGGTTTAGGGTTTCAGTCAGCAGAGCTGAGCTGCAAAGCGTGCGCGGAAACGCTGGCTGACACTTAGAGCCCAACTGCAAAAGGGTTTAGGGTTTAGGGCTGAGGCTGTAGAGACTGCAGATTCAGGGCTACATTATGGCTAGCCTGATTATTGTGCCAGGAGCTCGGTTGTCGATGCAGATTTTTTTTTGCAACGTTGGGGTTGCATTTGCATGCCATACACGTTGAATGGGGTGGATTGCTATTCTGTTGTGTATCTTCTTCTTGTGCTGTGTGATGTTTTCGGACCATTTAGCATGCTAGCGTTCTCTCTTTGCCTGCAATGGGGGGCTCACAGGCTGATCTGAGAGCTGGGCCATGCGGTCTTCTAGTCATGGTTCGTTTCGTTTCTTTGCCGGAGGACCCGCTTGAGCACTAGTGAGAGAGACTGCCAAATGTCCAGTTGCAAAAGCACACCATGGTCTCAGTGGTGGCCCGTTAAGTGCCGGGTGCTGGCCCAGCATGACATCCCCCCTTTCCTCAGACAAAGTGTTGCATGACCTTAACATAGGCCTCACCACCGCAACACGCGAACGCTGAGGGTCGTGGAGCTCCTGAGCCACGAGTCGCCCCTTGTGTGAAATTAGGTTGGGGGCGAGGCCCATCGATTTCGGGTTCTCTTGGTGTCCCAGTGTCTTGCCTGGTTGTGCTTCAGTTGCACTATGTCCTCGCCCGGCCCGCTTGTAGCCTGGAGAGGGGAGTTTGCGTCTCCAGGTCTTTATCGAAGGTTTGGTCGCCAAGCCCTGCAACCCAATCCCTAAACCCGAGGCCTTGAACCCTTATGGTACCGTTAAAGGAACCCCCTCAAAGGAGCCCCCTATTTGGGTACATGGGCCCGATAAATCCCAAGGCCCAAGTCTCAACGAAGAGCCAAGGCCTCAAGTGCAGACGCCAGCGCTCCGCACTGAAACCCGGCAGAACTGCAGAAGAGGAGGGCTTACCATAGGGGCTTCAATAGTTACTAACACTTTTCTTGGGGGGTTCCTTTAAAGGGGGCCTATAAGGGTTACTTTTAGGGGCTATGATAAGGATGTAGTGTAGGGGCCTAAATTCAATTGCCACTTCTATTTTGGGGGTTCCTGATTATAACTATAGCATAGTGGGGCCCAAAACCGTATTCCAATTCTTACGGCCCCATATTAGGCGGCTTAGACTTAAGATTTTCTGGTCCAGGTTTTGGGGGGCTGCACGTCGGGCTTGAGATCTAGTATTACAGTCGGATGCCGAATCCAGGTCCCATGGGCCGAATCTTTTGAGAGGTTTGAAAAGTTTTTGTGGCCATGACAGTGCAGGCTTACGGATTCCAGACATAATACCGAGGGCCTTAACACATCCTCCCGACAGAGAGGCTTGTCCTAGCCTGTGAGGCGAAACAGAGAGCGGCTGAGAGGCGTGCGCAAACAGAAAAAAGAGATACCTCCCACAAGTCCTTCGTTCCCGATCCAGCCGTTTCGCTCCTTTTGCACGTTCCAGATCGTGAGCCGCTCCCCACCCAAAGACTTGCACTCGGGTCGATGTTTATCAGCTGTCGGGTTCTACTGCGTGAGAGCATCTGAGTGTTGTATCTGCGTCATATGATTTGTTGACTCTTTTAACATATTGATCTTAGTTACGTGTCATATGCGGTTTCATCCACAGGTGGGCAACATCGTGACCGGAAGTGACACCCAGACGGATGCCGTGCTCGCTTGTGAGCCGGAGCCACAGAAATGCGGCAGATTCGGCCTCAGTTTTGCGGGTCGCAGTCCACGGAGTGAGAAAAACTACAGGTTCTGGGCCCTGCATGCAAAGAAAAGCATGTTCAGCTTGAATTGCTTGGCTGGCGAGGCCTTTCCCGGCTCTGACTAGACTTGTGGCCAGCAACTTGCCAGCACACATGCGATGGCACAGATGGCCCCCAAGAGCATCTTCGGCAAGTTGCTGGTGGCTGCCAAGGTCCTAGAATGAAGATTCGAAAGGCCAGCGCTCGGTGCTGTGATGGGTCATTTGAAGCCCTGCAACAGCTTCTTACACTATGCAGCCGGCATGGGTGTCCATGATTCAATGACGGTATGGCCGAAAAGGCTGAAGGAACTCAGGCTGGCGTGGACAGCCACGTCTCCGTTGTCGGTATTGGGGTTACCCAGCAGTTGAGGTCATCCAGGGAAGTCGTTCAGTCTTCACCGCCCCGCGGGACGTAGGGTGCTGGCGACTTGACAGCCCAACGTTGACTGCGGCCAGGAATGCTGCTGGCTGCTTTCGAACATCTGTGCCGGGACTGTGCATCAAGTTCAGCAGGTACTGAATGCAGGCGCTTCGGCAGCAGTCGATGCATGCGAGATTCTGTCACCAATATCGTTTGCAACTCAGGCTTCTTCAAAGTCCTGGCGGATGCTGCCCGTGATGCAGAGCACTCCGTGAAGAAGGAGGTGGTTCCCCTCGGTGTGCCGAGAGTAGGCCCCAAACTCGTATGAAAAGTTGGGTTGCTTGGAACGTGCGCGACGGTCAAGGATGTTCCGAATTTTCTGTTCGCTACTGCACGCACTCAATACCAAGCAACGGTTCAGATTTCGTCGAGCTTTCTGTGTGACAAGCATTCAACCCAGAGCCTCTAGGAGGGAGGGTGGCAGTGGGCAATGCGTACTTTCCGTACTGGGCATGTCAGGCGTGTCTGGCTGCTTGTTCCGCATAACCTCCATACTTGCTCTTCAACCCCTCAAATTTTAAGCTCTGCAGACCAGCATGGACAGTCGGCAAACTACGGCATTTGAGGCTGAGGAGTCTTGAAGACGAACACACCGGATCTGCACCAATCGCATTGAACCGGCACGGTTGCTGAATGGCCTGTCATTCAAGCAGCTTCGAAGGTGGCCTTGCCGCAAAAGCGGTACAGACCAAGCAGGAAGAAGGTTTAGATGCAAAGCGCATCTAATCACTTGCACAAATCAAGGCAGCACACACCCAATAATCGCAGTCCAATGCGTGAGAGTCTCGCTCCGAAAACCTGCTGTTCTACATGTGCCCAAAGCCAGCTGGGCAGACCTCACAGTTGCTTTCCTGTGATTGGACCTTCTGAATGAAGCTGCTCTTGTTGCATGGCAGGTCCGCATTTCACCCATTGAAGCCATGAGCCACAGCAAGTCTTATTGCTCATGCTACCTCGCTGCCGCATCACTGCGAATACGATGTCATCTTATTCACAGAGGAAGCCCATGCCAAATCCTTGGATTCACCCTCAGCAGCGATGGCTCTGCTCACAAAGACATCACCGCCAGACTTGCAAACGCCCGCAAACAGTTTCACGCGTCACACAAAATGTGGTGCAATACCGACCCACATTGAAGTAGAAGATGCGTATTTATTACAACGCAGTCTTCATTCCCTTGGTGACGTATGGACTGGAGTCAGCAGCGCGCACAGGCAACGACTACACTAGCCTCGAAGCTTTCCACTTACAGAGCTTGAAAAGATACTGCACCTCAAAAGAACTTACTACACAGAGATCCTCGAACCCACAACCATACACGAACCAGGAAGTCCGCTTCTTCACAGCAACCGCCCTCACTCACCACAGCCACAAAGCACAGCTGAAGCTTTTCGGCTTGTACAGAACGGAACTGTTGTTTTACTAGCAGTTTTGAGTATGGTGGGGGTGCAGTTGGGCCGGGCCTGAGGGCGGGTAGACGAAGGGCCACATGGGGAGTATACCAGCTGTTTCTGCTGTTTCGGGCGTTGGGTCGAGTTGACGCGGCCCCTTGTGGGATGCACTCAATTAGGTGAAACAGGCAAGACAATCTACCAGTTCCCAATTACGACACAGCCTGAAGACTGGTGCACCAGAAGTCCAGGAGATCGGAGGAGAGGCTGTGCTGCAGAAGGAACTGTAGCAGGCAGGATTAGCCTGGAAGGGATGCCCTGGGTCCAATGCTCAACGGACACGCGGATAATATCCCAGGCCAAAACTGCACTGGGTAGCGTTGTCAAACAGGACGTGGTGTCCTCGGGTGGGTCGGATCCAATTGGCAGACCGATTGTCGACAAACAATAGCAACACTCAGGGTCGCTGTTGTCAAGGTAGTCGACAGCAGTATCGGCAGCACGGTCAGCAAGTGCATCCCGATGTTGGTAGCGGAGCCATCGGTCCTCAGGCACGGGAGGGAGGAGCTCTGAAGGGACAGGCCCGACCTGAACCCAAATCGTCTCAGGGGAAGCAGCAGAAGGTGTTGGCCACACGACACCGGAGAAAGTGAGGGAGGCAAGGTACAGTCCACTGAGCCGAAAGGTGTCGGTAGCAGGGAGTCCGTCATCAACCTCTGGCACGAGCCACGAAACAAGATCATTGCTACAAAGCCAGTTGGCAGCCCCCCGTAGAATGCCTAAAGTGCCTTCAGAGATGGACTGGCGCTGGTCCGAAATAAGACGCTGCCAGCACTGGGCTGTGACATTAGCCTTGTGGCCTGCAGGCATACGCACGAGAAGGCTGTGCGGAGGCGGTCCCATAGTTCGGTCTCGCCGGCAGTGGCAATGGTCCCATCATGGTCGATGTGCAGAAGACAATCCAAGACTTCCGCACAAGGCCTGGCTGACTCCTCTTCAACAAAGAACTGCAAGGGCCCCTGATGGGGTCCGGAGGCTTGTAGCACGGGCATCAAAGCAACCCCATCATCAGGAGCCTTCCGGCTCCCGACTCCAGGCTCAGGGGTATGTCGAGCGTTGGTGGACAGCAGCCGACCACGACACAAACGACTGTACCCGAGATGACGACTGAGTTTGGTCGCGGAGGTGAAGTGCTTCAGGCATGCAGGGCACTGTGTGCCGGGTGCCAGGCGCCGCATCTCGTCAGTGCGCCCATGGGTCGAAAAAGCGTGGACGGACCACGCTCGGTAGTCCTTGAAACGCTTGTGGCAAACGGCACAACACTCTTTCGACTCCTCCTCATAGTCGGATTGTGCCGAGACACTAGCCCCAACTTGTTGAAGTTGGCGTAGCAGCAGACCCTGGTGCCGCTGGAGCTCGGCCTGCCAGTACTCCTGTGCTAAGGCACAGCGCTGTGCCTTGCGTATGCGTGCCTTCCACCTTCCCGGATGTTGTTGAGCCTCGTCTCTCCAAACCGCCCATGCGGCGGTCCAGTCCGGGTACTGTCGGTCAGGATCAGTCCTTTCCCAAAGCCACTGGACAGACTCTGCGGCGCCGCGCATCCAGGTTTGTTCCCAGTGGGCAAGAGCCCACAGCTCCGGGACTGAAAGCACGATACAGGACAGCATGTAACGTAAACGGTGGACGTGTAGGTACGTCACGGCTGTCGGGATTCTGGCTAGAGCAAGGGTGCGCGCGGTGCCGAGCTTCCACGCCTGTGCACAGTCATAGGCAGGTCGAAGCATTTGGCTGGCCATCCCTCGCAGGGCTCCGGTGAGTTTGCGTATACATTCGGGTGGCGGATCCGGCCAGGTACCAGACCCATAAAAGAGGGTCGAAGCAACCAGGCTATCAAACAAGAGAGCCTTGTCCTTCGTGCTGACCTTCGGCGAAGAAAAGATTTTCTGCTTTCGGGAATTGAAAGCGACCCAAGCTTGTGCGGCTCTTGCTTTGACTTCTCGCAGGAGGCAACCTCGGTGGTGAAGTACACCACCGAGGTGTTTGTAAGTCGCAGTCAAGCGGAGTCTGGCAGTAGTCCAGAGACGGCAATGGAGAGGAATGGTGCCTTCCTGCTCCACAAAGAGCTGTTGTCGCATCTGCCTGGCATGGCGAGCTCGAAGGTGGACAAGTGCTTCAGTCTTGCCTCTCTTGAGGTTCGGGAGGAGAGCATGCTCAAGGCACTTGTCAAGGAGCGTGGACGCTCCAGCCGTTAGCCGCTCAACAAGTTCGCGGGAATTCGCAGCCTGCAAGAGCATGGACAGGTCGTCCATCCACGTGGCATCGAGCAAGCTGATGGTTTGAGCAGGGGTTTGGGCAAGCGGTGTCAGGCGACCAATCATGTCTGCATGCCACGGGATACTTGGCACATGTCCTGCCTCCGAGAGGGCGGAACGGACCTGCTTCAGAACCCGTGCAAACAACAGACTGAAAACTAGGTCGGAGAGGGAATCCCCCGGGCGGGATCCAATCGCTGTGGTGACTAGCTCCTCCTCCCCAGCGAAGCAAAACCACGTATTCTGAAGTGTCTCCTCTAAGGCCCGGGTGACCCAAGGACTAGCCCCGGCGGCAGACGACAGTGGCAACTGTTGCAAATGTTGCTGTATGTCGTGGTATACGCCACTGGGCATATGCACTGCTCGGCATGCGGCTGCAATAGCCTCCTCGGTGAGGGGGCCTCCCGTCACCAAAGGTCTGACTATTCGATAGAACGCTTCTTGAAGGTCTAAGAAAAGGACTCCATGACAGGAGCCCTTCTGTAGGCAAGCGGATTGGTACATTCTCGTTACATGGGCTGGAACGGTAACCGGATAGCCCGGCAAGCCTCCTACTTGGAGAGGCGATGCCACATTGTGGAGTGCGGGAACGCACTTTTTGCGGAGCAGTTTGTGCAAGGACTTGCTCACGACTGAAGAGACGAGTATCCCCCGGTAGGAGGAGCAAAGTTGTCTCGAGCCCTTGTGTTTGTAAACACAGTGTAGGATACCTCCCTTATGTTGGACGGGTTCGGCGAGCGTAAGGAGGGATTTAAGCTGGAGTTGGTAAATGGGCCTCGCTAGCAGCGGGGCGCAAAAATGCAAAAGCTCTCCTGGTAGGCCGTCGAGCCCATATGCACGATCAGTGGAAGTGTCCCTCAAGGCCCATTCGAGATGGCCGAGGGTTGGGGCGTCGCCGTGTGAAACATGGTAGTCTTCAAGATCCTTTGCCTGCTGTCGGGAAATGCAGGCACGCACAAGCTCAGTGGGAGAGGAAAGGGAGCCAGCCTCAATTGAAGAAAAATGTTCTAGCCAACATTGCTTGGCTTCCTCATGGGTGGCTGCTAGTGTCCCATCAGCCCTTTCAACGGCCGGCAGCGGGGACCGATCGCGCTGCTTGCGTTTGGGGCCCCCCGTTAGCGTTCTAAGCCGCTGGACAATGGCTTGGGTCGAGGAGGATTCTGACGCAGCAGCTGCATGGCGAATATGCTCAAGGTGGTCCTGGCGTATCGCACTGCGAAGGGCCTTACTAGAGGACCGCAAGTCCTCCAAGAAGACCGGCAAGTCGCGTAGTGACCAAAGAACAGGGGCCCAGCAGGCGAGTAAGGTGTCGGCAAGCCGGCGCCGATGGTGCCACGAGTGGAAAGCCGCCTGAAGATGCCATCCATTAATGGTGCGGGAGGCTCCCTTGACGCGTTTGCGCAGCCACTCCCGCTTGCTGCGGAGCTGCCAGGTGGAGGCCTGAAAATATTCATGCCGGCAGGAGGATTTGCCGACCGGAAAAGCTCGGGCAAGGTGGTCGCGGAAATAAGCGTCCAGTGCTTGGGCATGGCGGTGCACGTCAAGATCCCAGGGCTGCAGGGGGACGTTCCGACATATGTGCTCGAGAGTAAGTCGGCCCTCCGGCGTACGCATAGCAGCTGTGTTGAGTCGGCTGTGTTTGCGACCTGCGGCCTTACCAATGGTGACAGTCCCCCTAACCCACAACTGGACGGCAACATGGTCAGCCCGGCTCTGTCCCCAGTCTAGGCGCGGATTAGTGGTGCTGCCGCCGCAAGGTGTCTGCCATGAGGAGGGAACAGCAATATAATCAAGACGGGCAGATCCAGCGCCTGCTGGTGAGTGCCAGGTGGCAGTATCCCCAGGGTGACAGGCGTCAAAAGTACTGGGGATCCACAAGGCAAAGTGGTCCAGTAGTCGGTAGAAGGCGGCTGGCGGATCCGGGTTAGGCGTACCCCAAACTAGATCCCCAATGGCAGCAGAGTGGCTGTGGTGCATGTGCAAGTTGTAGTCCCCTAGTAAGACAAGATGGGCATCTTGTGAGATGCGCCGGAGGAGTTGGAAGAGTGTGTCCCACCAAGCATCCCGTCCTGGGCTAGCACTGTGGGGCGCATGAATGCAGACAAAGAGGACCCTGAAAGTGGTATGGGTATATACCTAACAGCAAGGATGCGCGGTGTCCAATGGACCGCAAGGAAATCACCAGGCTGGAAGTGGATAGGCCGGTCCTCTTGGTCAGAGAAAAGAGCATGTTGTCGGTCAAACCAAAGCTCGACACCACAAGTGCCATCGGTCTCCTTCGCGCTGGTGAACCTGATGTGGCTAGCCGAGACATAGGTGGCACTATTGACAGCGCGTGTCTCCTGGAGAGCCGCAACACTGATGCGGTCGGCCTGCAATTGGTCGCGCAAGAAGCGGGCCCTCCCAACAAAACTTCCATCGCCTGTTGTGGCATCAGGGGGGGCCATCCTGTGGCGAGAGGGTTTGGACATTGACTGTGAGCAGAAATGCATCAAGATTGCCCCGTCGAGGCCCTCCGACTGCGGGGCCGTCTCCAGGATTCTGCAGTCCAAAGAAGGCAGAGCATTCTGCAGGAGAAGGCTCAGGTACGGACTGCGCACGAGTGGCAACTAAGGACTGTCCCGAAAGCGTAGGCCAAGCAGAAGGGCGGAGCGCAGCCTCAACGGTGAGCCACAGCCAAGGGAACGAGCTGCTATGCGCAAGTTGAGCAGTGTGTGGGACAGCGACAGAGTGGTATACCCCTTGTCGGCGGCAGGCTAGCTTGGCAAGGCTGTCAGCGACTTCATTGCCGGGGTTGCCAACATGTGAACGGGTGTAGTGAGTGCATCTGTACCCACCGGCAACTGTAGAGAGGAGCTGCGAAGCAGCTCTGCACTTGCCAGAAAGGGTATCCTGTGGATAGTCCCCGCCAGTACCATCGAAAACGGCAATGGCTGAGGTACAGTCGGAATATATGTCTATGCAGGCATATTGGGGCAACTGGAGGCACCAACAGGCAGTCCAAAAGAGTGCAGCAACCTCAGCGGGGAATGCTCCAGCTTCATACTGGCCGAGGTAATCTGGACCGTCAGGATCCTGTGTAAGGCGGGCTCCCTGCCATCCGAGGTGGAAGCTTCCAGAATCGGTGTGGGCACAGACATGGAAAGCCCAGGCGGCATGCTCCCCATCGAAGGAACCATCTGTATAGACCTGCACACTGCGAATATCAGCATAAGGAAAATCAGCTCCAGCTGGCTGCCAGAACTCTAACCAGGTTTGAACGGCTTGCGGGACCTTAAGCCCTGGCAGCTGAGCAAGGCTCCAGTGGCCAGGCCTCAAAAGCGGCGCAACGTCATCAAAAGAACATGCAATTGGCATGCTGATTGCGGTGAGGTCGAAAACTCGATGAGAGGGGACATGATCAGCAATCCGCAGAACACTTGCAGGTGGCAGTGTGGGCGAATCAAGTGGCGGGGTCGGAACTCCGGCAGTGCCAACAGAAGACACGACGGCAACACCTTCAGATGAATGTTCAAATAAGGTGGCAAGAAGTGTGCTGGCAAGGTAGAAAGCATGGAACCTGGTCTGCTGCAGAGACTGTTCCAGCAGCGTGGGCCCCAACCAATGTGCAGGAGCAGTTGCGGAGCAGAGCTGGGTGGGAGACAGGGGCTGAGTGTCAAACGAGGTATCAACGCGAGCAGGTTCTCCGTCATCAGTAATGTACGGCAGTCGGACTCTAGCGGTGGTGCCTCTACATGGAGTGGCAATGGGTCTGCCAAAAGGCGGAGCAGGGGGGGCAGTACCATGGGTATCACAGGCATCATCCCATCGGGTCGAGAGTGCAGAGGTGTCACGCAGGGGCCCACTGGAATGGGCGTCAGGCAAACTACCGGCGATCCACATGTTATCTCCATCGGTCCGATGGTTGTTCGTATGAGGTGTCTGTGATACACCTGGATGTGCAAAGCTGTGCATGGCAGCATTCGGTCGACAGAGGAGGCCAGCAATGAGGCAAAGGATGCTCCTCCGGTGAACAGGCCCAGTGCATCGGCCACTTGTGGGGGCCCGTCGAGCATGGTGGCCACAGTGCTGGCCAGTGGTTGCTTGTCTCCCTCGGGACAGATCAGCATCTGGTCGGAAGGCTGTCCCTGTTGCGGCAGTTGTGTACGAGCTGCCTCGATGATCGGCCTGGCCGTTGCCGGCCCCCCCGGGGTTCGTCCGGGTGTGCGATGTGGCCTCAGTGGGCACAGTAGCAGCGCCAAACCCGGTATCATCCCAGAGGCGTGAAGGAGCAGGCTCAAAGGAAACAGTGAAAACCTCTCCTGGACTAAAATGTATAAAATGTTGAAAAGGCGGGGCTTCGGGCCATCCGCCTGTGACGGATATGCGCGAGCCGGGGGGGCACCTCGCTTGAAATCTGCGTTCTACCGAGCGGAGATTGAGCACCCCCTCAGCGTTTGCTGCCCATTCAACACCAAGAAGCACAGGTCGTGCGTCAAGGATGTACGGAAAGAGACCATTGCCGGTAGCCTCAAGCCGGATGTCGCTAGAGGTAGCGATGACTGCAGTGCTGACCCAAACACCCTGCACACAAAGGTCGCCAAGGGTGGATCGGGCTGGTCGAATGCGTAGATCACGCTCGGGGACGTGTAGCTGACCCGCTAAGTCCCGTCGGAGGAGTGCACGCCTGCGGCGATCAAAGGTGAAATGCCTGGGGTGGTCGTCTGCAAGGATCCAGAGGCGGTCGCCTAAGGGGGAGGCAGCATAGTTGGTATGAGTCCAGCACCTTGGGTCCCGAAGCATATCAGCAAACCCAGTGAGTACAAGAACACCGTGGTTCCGCGGCTGCACAGAAACTAAATCCCCATTGTCAAGTACAGTGGCAGACTCGACAGGGAGGGGCCAGGGGACGTCCCTGACGTAGACATGGGAGTCCTGTGTGACAGTTGGCCCAGCTAGCCTGAGCAATTGCTGACAGCTAGGGTTAGGCGGTGCAGTCACAGCGAAAAATCGATTAGGAGCGAAGCCATTATCGATTAAGGCAAAGACATATGGTCCGTCCCAGGGGGGCATTGCGAGCAAAAGGGCTTTGTCAGGGTACGGCTGCTGACTGGCAGGGATTAGACGCGGGAACCACTGTCGGCGCGTCTCGCATCTGGCACTGGTAACAAGCTGGAGGGCCTGCTGCGGAGTGCAGGGAATCGGAATACGCACAGTGATGATCTCAGGAGCAAAATCCGGCACACAAACAAGGAAGGTCGCAAGGACCGTGCCAGCATCAGAGGTGTCAGCAGTCTGGTGGTGCCCTAGGGTCTCGGGGGCTGTTGTCGGCCGTGGTAGCCCTGGATATCTGGTCCGGATGGTGTGGAACCGGTGTCTGCAGGTCTAGGCTGGGACGAGCTTCCTGTTGCAGGGGAAGCCTCGTCGGGGCGGCCGTCGGGTCTGAGACTGGGCTCGACAGGGTTAGTGCACAAATGAGCGCTGTTGTCACTGATAACTGCGGTCACAATGACAACCTGGCCAGGTGCAATCCAGAACACACCGGGTCCTTCAGGACGGCCATCAAGGCGTAGTGAGTACCCGGAAGGTACATGCTCTTGCAGGGACTCAAACAAGGCCCTCTGGCTTACAAACCCGTTATGAACTTGAATCAGACGAAATGAGGCCTCTATGGGCCTGCAGTCCAAAAGCGCACAATGCCAAGCCGCACCCCTGACTCCCGGGGGGGGTGACCAACAGCAAGAACAGATGTGCATGTGATGCCTTCAAGGGCAACATCGGTCGGCACAGGTCTGGCAGCGAACAGTCGCATACGGTCTGGGTTTGCCCCAGTGGCTCCAGCAATGGCGGCCCTGTAACGCATGGGGTATCTCGTTGCTTCAATGCAGAGTCGGGCAGGGCCTTTGTGCACGAGACAGTGGGCTTCGGTATGGGCAGGCATGGGTAGCATAGCTTGGCTATCCCAAAAGTAACGAGACCGTAACTGCTCTCCCAGAGTATAGTTGACTGGGTGATTTGTCCCAGAGTGCACGAAAGTGACAAGTGCCCCAGGGAACAGATGGACCAGGTCCTCTCCAACAGGGATCTGATCGACGCCGAACAAGACTTCATAGTCCAGACCGGGGAGGAGACCAGCGCTCCTAATCAACCCGATCTTAGAGCAGTATTGGGGCATTTGTGCGAGGAATAGACGACCATCAATGGTTGTCGTGTCAAAACAGACAACGTCGGAGCCACTGGCCCACGGTGGCAGAGCTGCAAGAACCGCGATTCCTAAGGCAGGCTGAGGCAAAACCGAGAGGAGGGTGGGAAAGGCAAGGCTGGAGTCCCGCCGGCGTACAGCCTGGATGGCCTCGATTACCTCCTCCTGTGTTGTTGGAACTGGGACGGCAACTGTAAGGTGTTCTGGCACATATTCAACGCGTAGGATGGCACACGGCACTGTAGTGAGTTCAGCCTCAGACTCAGGGTCCGAAGTGATCCAGTCATCAAGCATCGTCGGATCGAACCCCGGATGCCTGAATGGGAAATCGGTGATCCAGTGTCCACCAAGGGTGCGCGTTGCATGGCGCAGACGACGAAGGTCCCTTCGTTCGGCTCTGTTGTGGCAGGTAGGTTCCTTAAGAAGCTTGGCTTTGCGGCTGGAGGCTAAAGCCTGACAGGCTAGCCAGAGGGAGAGGCCGCAAATAACGCTGGCCCCGACAATGAGCAGAAACGGCCCAAGTGTGTTAGCAAGCAGATCGCAAGAGCGCCAAACGGCAGCGTCTGTAACAGCAAAGGCTCCAGGGGGCCCAATACGTTGTACGACGCAGCCGTCGACAGCACCTGGCTGTGCCAATCCCAGGACAGCGCCAAGGGCAGAGCTTGCTAGCGCGCTACTGGAGCCTGGGATGTCTGTAGTCCTGGCTGCGGCCCTGCTGGGTGATCGTGCTCTGGACCTCGACCTGGACCTCGGGCCAGGGTCAGAAGGCGGGGAATATCTGACCGGTCTGGGAGGAGGAAAGAGGGATCAGGCACAACGGTTGGTTGCTCGGGGTCGGAGGCACAGTCAGATTCCTCGACGGATTCAGCCTCATCAGACGAGCTACTTTCATCAGTGCTCCATGGTTGATCGGGCTTAAATCCGAAAACAACAACGGCACCCTCTGTTAGGCGTAGAACACCAGTCCTATCAGGTCTAGGGCACACGGCTATCCTATAGCAGGGTGGCGGGCGGAGATGGAGATATCGGACCAACATATGAGGGTCCGCATTCGCTGACGAGAGGTAGATGTGAGCCACATCAAGTCCGGCCTGCCTTGCATCAAGGAAGATTAGAATGCCATGCCTGTCAGTGGAAGGCGTTAACGGGTACACTGCCAGGGCGTCCCTGCACGGGGTGCCTCGATAAGCGACATCAGTAAGTTCATCACCAGCTGGTGCAACGAACAAGACTCTGTCAGGAGTCCGATCAACAAGGTCTGCGAGAAAAGGGAGCACTGGGATATTAGAAAATCTCCGAGTACTATAAGTCAGGCAGCGGTCATGGTACAGAGTCAGAACAGGTCTGTCAGTGATGTCCTCAGGTAAGGAGGGGTGCACAAGCCACCATTGTGGTCTATCGAAGCGGGCAGTCAATGTGGAGCACCACTGGGCCGGCGTGCCAATCGGTTGAAACTGTATCACACAGCCGAGAGTGGCAAGGATCGTATCCCCAGGTTCAAGTGCTCTGGAGCCTCCCTGTGCATAAATGCTACACTCAAGGAAGCCATGGTGGGAGTTCTCGTAGACACTCGAAGTGTGATAGGTTCTCGTGTGTGATGTCAGCATAGACAGGCCCGCCGAGTGCACGGAAGTCGTACACAACGACTTGCTTGTTGACCTGCGGAATCCACTTCGGTGCAACCACAATCGATGCAAAGTCTGAGCCAAGTTGTGGCACTGTCGGGGCAGTGACAGTACAAAATGGAAGACGCAGCTTATGTAGACGATCGCGGACAGCATTATAGAAAGTGGCGAGGTCAAATGGGGGGCGGAGAGTGAGTTGTAAAACCTCATTATGGTGCTTGGGTGCTAGCACAAGACAAACACCCTCAAAGGATTGCCTCTCAATGTCTCCGACCTCAGGCGGCGAATGCAGAGGGGGGATCGGGAGCTCGTCGTTATTTGCGAGGGGGCGTTCCAGATCATGTCGCTGGGCTGCCTCTAGGAGGCGGATTCTGCCATCAAGCTCCTCAAGATCTGGTCGGTCAATTCCGATTGGAGCACCACCGTTTAACCCCTCAGGTTGCAGTCTAGCATAATGCTCGGCCCCGTGGATGACATCATGCCACTGCTGTGGTGCAGCCCAGATTTGTTGTGGAAGACAGCTTAAGACTAGCCAGCTTAGTGGGCTCCAAGAGCTACGGGGGTAGCTGGGACGATGAGCGAGACGGCGGCGACCAGCCTGTGCCTTCCGCATGCATCCAAGTCTGAGGTGCCGGCAGATACTTTGACGACCGGAGAACGCAGAGACCGGCAGCAGGAAGTTCCGTGGAAGGCCCCTGGAAGGCATGGCTATGACCTGACCAAGGGGAGTGTGCTGAACACGGAAGGGCCATGCCAAAAGGCGCAGAAGCGCGCACAAGACGAGCAGCGCAAAGTGGGTGCAAAACGCGCAAGTGAGGTGCGCAATCCACTGAAAGAGCGAAACCCAAAACGGATCATCAGTCCGGGTATCTAGGGCATCGGTCAAGGTGGGGACTAAACCGAAAGAAAGGGGAAAACCAGATCTATCAGGTAAGTCCTCAGGCCATGCCACAGCTAGTGCATTGAAGAGGCATTGCCAGTGGGGGTTGTGGTCGAGATCCCCGTCGGTGAAGGGAATTCCTGACCAACGAACACCTTCGCAGCGAAAGCCTGCCGGGTGTCCGTTGTCACAGCATGTCCCTAAAGAGGAAGGCGAAAGTGCAGACGCAACGGGGCGAAGCCGTAGGGAAGGGCCACAAGGCACTAGGGTGCCGCAAAACTGACCTGGGCCGATGGGCCTTCTGCAAGGATGCTGCGTGGAGGCTCGAGTGCTCCAGGCCGGTCTGGTGCACCCAGCCGATCGCTCAGTGGCCGCGATGCTCTGGAGCCATATCTAAAGGGGAGTATCACTCCAACTTCGCAAGGCCCGGTGAGTTCACAGTCATGCGTCTTCCAGGGTCGTCGTCGTCCGAGATCTCCTGTTGGTGGGCGGTCCGGTTGCCATCGGTATCGCACCTTGGGGCGCCCTTCTCCATATTCTCGGTCTGGAGTCGGAAGGGATGCAAGGCAGCTCCCACCCGCTCTGCTTCGCGCCTCTGTTCGAGCTTCTCCTGAAGGGAGAGGCCAGCAGGCTGTGGCTTTGCCGGCTGGTGCTTTGTGGCAGCTTTGATGTCCTCCCTCGGAACGGTCCGGGATGGCCTCTGGTCGCCCATAGAGGGTGAGGGTACGTGCTGCTCGGTGCCATGCGGGGCTTCCCCAACCTTGGCCAGAACAGGAGAAGTCGCCGAGTATGGTGCCGATCGAAGGAGTCCACTCGAAGGGGAGGCAGCACCGTATGTAGGTGCTGGGTATGCTGGGCCATGTGTGCCCGGATCCATACAAGACGGCCGATTCTCTCCAGCAGCGGGCGGTGCAAGACCTGGCGGGGCCACATGTCCAGCCATTGTCTGTGCCCCGCTGCCCGTCGGTGGCACCGGCTGGGGCGCCTGTACCGGGACAAGCTTCCCACTCCTGTAAAGGCGGAGGATCTCCGCCATGTCCGGGTCCATGACATGCGATTCCTGGGTCTCCGGGACCTCTGAGTACTTCATGATCATGGCGGCCCAGTCTTCGGCTGAAGTGTCTTGCACTTCCATCTGTGCCTTCCCCATAAGTCCCTGTGCAGTTTGTGCCATGTTCTCCCTGGCCACAAACAAGAGCTTCTGGGCTTCCTCCAGCTCGTTGACCAGCTGTGACTGTCTTTCGGTATGTCGCTTTCTCTCCTCCATGAAGGCTGTCATGAGCTGCTGTTCGTAGTCCGAGAAGCGCGCTGCTTTCTCTTTCTGCTCCTTCTGGATGCGTGTAACTCTGGACTCCGCTTTCCTGAGGATATTCACAGCTTGCTGTGCCCTTTTGGCCGTGATAGCATCTGGCCTCTCCGGTGCTTCCACACGCTCCTCTCGAACAACGCAGAGGTGTGGTTCCGCCCCCCACTGTTGATCGTAGGAGGGGAACCGCGCACTCGGCCTCGGCTCCTTGGGCTCCTGTGGCGAGCCAGCTGACCGCCAAGCTCCATGCCACAATGAGTATCCTTGCCCGGCCTGGCCGTTTTGGCCGTATCCATGGTCCTTGGCATTGCGCTTCCATGGTGCTTCGGTCTTGGGCTTCTTGCCCATATGCACGATGACTTTCTTGAAGAAGGAAGGGCAGGTGCCGTGATGCCCCAGAAGGGCCCAGATTCGTGAGCGAGGGGCAGTCCGACCCTCTTGAAGAGCAGATCTGGTTTTCGATCTGGCTTTGCGGAGCCTCCGATGCCACGATGGCGATGGCGTGGAGGAGCGAGGTTCGCACCCACTATTGGGGTGCTGGGGCCAACAATTTTCTCCCTCAGGAGCGATTTGGGCCCTGAGTATACCAGACTTACATGGCGCCGGCTTTTAAAGTCCACGACACCACCTCCATCTCACGCCCCTGCTTCCTCAACGGGTATCTACAGATGCACAGACTAGCTGTAGACCGAGACTTTTGGAGCCGTGTAGCGAGGCTGCCAACGTGCAAGACCCTCCTCACAGCTAGCTCCAATCAGGTTTATTGACAGACTTGATGGACGTGCTTGGAGTCGTGCTGCGTGTGAGTAGCATAGGACCGCCCAAAACAGACCATGTCGCCGTGGTCAACAGCGATAATTTCTAGCAGTATGGCTGATAATTGCATAGCCGCAATCCTCAGGCCCTCGAGCGCACTTGTCCTGAGGTGGCTTTCGCTTTGGCCAATGCCAGCGAGAAGAAGTCGATGGCAACTAGACGGATCTTAATGCTTTCAGTGGGCAGTCACATCTAACTACGACCGTTTGATAACGAGAAAAAGCAGCGCAACAGAATGGCAGAGCCGTAGGGATGTAGTGCATTCAGGACAGACCTCCACTGCTCGGGGTTCTGTGTGGGCAAGCTAGGGGAGGCAACAGGTACACTTCTGTGCCTGGGATATTCTACATGCCGAAATCATGATTTGCGTTGAGTGTTCGCCTTCGAGGTTTAGGCACGGAATCTGCTTGCATGGTTTGCATGATGAAGCTCAGGTTCAGCCTTTAGCACCTCGGCCTATGTCGTGCGGGTATGGATTGTCGTTGAGATTTAGCCATGCCGTGAATCTGTCTGAGCTGATTGTTGCTGTGGCAGCTTTTGTTCGCGTGGAGTGATGCAGGTGGAAGCTGGCTGCTTGAATGCCATGCAGGCGATGCTAGACAGCCTTGGCCTCACGAGACAGCGTGTTCGCAGAGTGTCGTGACCTGCAGCTTGCAGCAACTGCGGGATCATTTTGTACGATCTTCCACCTCAATCTGCTATTTCATACTGTATCACTTGTCACACATTCTCCGGGTTCTGCTTTAGGGTTTAGAGGACTGTTCCTTGCAAGAAAAAGACGAAACATGCTTGCTATGGTCCGTGCCAGCGAGGCCACGACCCCAAGCTCCAGGACTTGTCCGTGGTCTTTGCCACAAACGTCTGTGAGGCGCGTCCTCCCATGACGATGTGAAAAAGGTGGATTTCGCCAGTAGCGTTTCGTGGCCGGTTCTTCAACTCAAGAGCTCGAGGCCCTTGCCACCGGCATCATGCATCCTCAGCGGTTCCTGACTTTACTCTAGTAGCCCGTTATGCGGAGAATGGAGCCTTCGACCAATTTCGTTCTGCACGTGACGAGCTGCGAGGCCGTGCAGGCTCACAAGACATCCGGAGAGGGGACGGGCAGGCAGGGCTGGAATACCTCAGCTGTTGGAAATCCTCGACCCCTCCATGTGGTCCCGAACATCTGCAGAGGAAGAGGTGGGAGGTGAATTGCACGTCTGACGCCCGCAAAAAGTGGCCGCCCGCATTGGATTTACAGCCCAAGACCAAGGCCCAACGCTCCCAAGACCCAAGCCGATTCAAGTGCCGAAAATGTAGAATCGAAAGCAGACATGCAGAGACTTCCCCAGCCAGGTGGTCATGCTTCGAAGAAGTTTGTGGCTGGGAGTGCAAAGGATGTCGGAGTTCAAGTCCCAGGGTTTTGGATGAGTGGAGAGAGAGAGAGGTTCCAGAGATCCCAATACCCCTTAATTAAGGAATATACCTTAAATCATAATACTAAGGCCTCTATTATTTAAGGTATACATACTGCTTAATTAAGGGGTATTGGGTTCTCTGAGGATCCAGGCCCGGGTCTGCACGCGGACTCTGCCCGTCCGGCAGGAAGCAAGGTTCAGGCATGAGGATTGTGAGACCATTCTGCAGGCTTTGGCTGTGTGGAAGGTGGAAGAAGCTTGCAGGCTGTTGGAGAACCCTTCGATATCACAACTGCTACTGTCGGATGCTATCGCAGCTATACGTATTTCTTATGTTGATTGTGAATCACTATCAGTCTTAAACTTGGCATGGCATTGCTGGTTGCGTGCGATTGCCGCTGCTATTGCTGCTACGTGTTCTCACCGTAGCAGCTGCGGCGCCTATTACCTGGAGCAGTATAGAGCGGTTGCTCCTCCTCTCACTCCGACGCCACCACCACCAAGACGACACCGATGACTACACTGCTTCCACCGCTGCTTCGTTTACGTACATACTAATGTGCTTTCCTTTCAATGCCATCTGCGACTTCTGGTAAGGGGACTACCCCCTGCAGAAGTCGTGCCACCGTTTCCCGGTGCAGTTACCACTCCATAGTTAGAGCCAACAGAAGACTTGTCACCATGGGTTCTGCTACCACGAGTAATGTGGTTGCAACTTTTTTTCGACCATGACGGTTCTCACAGTGTTCTCAAGCGAGGTTTACTTTGCAAGTGTTTGTTCATAGAATGCCATGACTGCTGCAATGTCTTCTTCCCCGAATGATCAAAATACATGTCTACTGGGTTTAGCATAAACCTCGCCTGCAGAGTCCGAGTCGCGAGAGTCCAACCCTTAGGCCCTAGACCCACGGATCTGTGGGAGTGGTAAGTTGCTCTGCTACATGTTTTCTGGGCTTGTCAAAGCTGACGAGCTGCTCGCTCAACCGAGCTTTTCGGAGCTGCCTGCGGTAGTGAATAGGCTCCTCTAAACAGAGCCCTCAACCCTAAACCCCTAAACCCCTTAACCCCTAAACCCCGAAAATCCCGAAAACCTCTAGAACCCCCCACGGCCCAGGTGAATTTTACACGGAAGAGCGCCTCGAGCACATCCGCGATGATGGCGGTGCCGGGCACAGGCAGAGCTAGTGAGGACTACTTCCAGTATAATACTACGATGCAACATACTATCACAATATGAGGTAGTATATCCTTATACGACAATATGTCGTACTAATTTTTCTCCAATAACATAATAAGGAACTATGGCAGACTTTCGGCTTGTGTTTTAAGGGCTTTGGTTGTGTAGGCGTTTGTCTGGTTGGCTACGGGAAACAGGGCACATGTTGCCATGGGCGCCCTTATTTACATCTTGGTCCGCGCTGCGGATCCAAACCCTAAGCCCTAAACCCTAACCCTGGCAGGATCCAGTCTTCGTTCTGCTTACTGTGCGGTGTCCCCTCCCTCAAACAAGCTGGCTTTCTGGACGCTAACTGCCAAAAGAACAAGAGGGGATAACACAAAAATTCCTGGGAGGAGATTTTCTGTTCTGTGGTGGCCATGGGGAAGACGAGCTGGGGGAGTGCTTACCGGGTTCTCTTGCTGACCTAAGAAAGGCTTCAGAACTGCAACAGGCAGATGCTGGGGACCAATGATGGTGATAGTGATGATGGTGATGGCCGTGACGACGATGAGAACGATGATGGTGATGATGATGATGATGATGCTGATGATGATGATGATGATGATGTCGTTGATGTTGGTGATGTTGGTGATGGTGCCACTGCTGCTGACGATAATGATGATCATGATCATCATCATCATGTCATTGTTGTCGCTGTGGTAGACATTACCTCGAGATTCGGGATGCTCGTGCTTGCTTCGTAATCAACGTAATGACCGAGACACACTCTTGTACACTGCAAGCATAGCTTCGAAGTTTGCGGATGGCCTGCCCCGATTTGTGGTGGCCAACAAGTGTGTCGAACCCTTTCAAGAGTGTACATAAACTCGTGCCAGCATGTCCTTGGCCAGGGAGAAGGTGGACACGCTCTTGAGCCTGCACCTGGGCTGGATGAGGGGGTTTCCGAAAATCGGTACCCTAATATAGTACCCTAAATAGTAGGATCCTTATCACCCCAAAATAAGGTACCCCCCCCCCATTTTTGGAAACTCCCGTGAGGCCGAACACGAGTTGAGTCCGGGCAGCCAAGGATCAAGGACCTCTCGAGCGCTCCCGTAGCTGAAGCCGAGCTCCCCGGCGGAGTGAGTGAGATGTCGTGAAGCAAAAGGCAAGGAGCGGAAGAACGAGTGATTTTAAACGAATTTTGCCCTAAGTCAACTTCAGCCCAATTGTTCTCGCACCATCACAACGCTGAGCTTCTTCAACTCGCAACCCTAATCCTGCAGTTCGTGGTCATGAGCATGGGAGTGCATGCAAAACGAACGAAGCTGAAACATGGTTACAATCTAGACTCGCCATCCGAAGACGATCTAATGAATTCTCCCAGGATCCCACATCTTAGCCCTCAGCCCAAAAGTCTGCCTCCGAGTCGCAAGTGGCAGGAAGAACGCGTCCAAAACCTCTTCAATGGTCCGAGTAGTGTGCCCAAGCGCTTGTCGATCCTCAGTTCCTAAGAACGGCGTAGGAGTGAAGACTGTTCGGAGTATCGAACCATCGGAGCAGAGCTCACGATTGCCATGCCGCTGAAGCATAGCAAACTCTTCCGGCGGCAAAACTAGACACCTGACAAACCCTGCTTTTAGAGCCCACATGTGAGTCCTGAACTTGCCTTCAGCTAAACGCTACAGTAGTGGATCGTCTTCCGCTCGTGCTTACCTCGACGGACGTGATCGTGTCGGAGCAGCTTTACAAGGGCAAACGGGCTCCAATGAACGGTGACGAGCTTCTAGTACTATCTTCGTTACACGTGTGCACATGGGTATGCATACGTTTCATGCATTCTGAGCAGACGGTGTTTTGTCATTCATTGATAGGCCATGGGCAGTGGCGGCATCATGGGCGATCATTAAAGCTGCCCTGCATCCGCTTGCTTCCTCGATGACGGGGTGATACTGTTCTATGGGTATGAATCTGCTAACGTTGAAGAAAGTTCAACCTGGATCGTTTTTTCATGTCGTTTGTGCCGCTGTACTTGTTTCGTGGTGGGTGGATGTTCGTTGTCACGCATGATCCTGCACTCTGTGAGCTAGGTAGTTTTTCGTGTGTTGCTTGATTGAATCATGGTGGCAACCGCGGGCATCGCCTGTCAGAAAGACGCATCTTCAGAGTGGCAAGACAAGACCGGCAGGATTTGTTAGTACAAGGAGTTCAAGAGTGGTTAAGGACGCCTGGTTAAGGACGCCTCAGAGCAACGGTTCAAGAGTGGTTAAGGACGCCTCAGAGCAACGGTCACCCATATTGAACAAATTCAGACAGCAGTGGACCTGAAGGTCTAAGGTTTGGGTGGGCAAGTCCTCCTGCACAGACTATCCAGCCACAGTATCCAAGCGGAAGTTTTCGTGTCGTGTTAGTAGGCCTAAGATACGGCTGGTTTGGATTCAAGGCTTAGGCTATTAGGCCTCGTATGATTAGGCTGGCACAGGTGTGTATGTGTGTGTGTGTGTGTGTGTTTTGGTGCTGAGGGGTTCGGAGGAATCGGCTTGGCATCAACACCGTCAGAGCATGAACTTCAGAATACCGCTTCTGCTCCGATTCGCTCACTTTTGCGGTCAGCTTCACCACATGCGGTGCCGAGTCTGACAAGAGATTGGCACCAACCTGCTGCCTTCGTGTTGCTGGCCACAGTGGCCAAAGCGCAGGCCCAAGCCGGAACTGTTGATGTTTACTGCCGGGCAGAAGATCCGCCGGCAGCAATTTCTAATCGCTTGAGGATGTGTAGAGTCTTGGCAAGAGACATGAGCTCCACGATTTGGTTGCTGCGTGTACAGACGGCCAGCGCCAAGTTGCGGTGCCGGATCAACCCTTAGCACTTTTTCTCAGAGGCGGCCTCATTTCCGAACAGATCCCCCTACGTTCCTACATGTCCTGGGCTGCAGGGCCGGCCCAGAACAAGGCATCAGCTTGCCAAAGACTGCGCTCGAGGTTTTAACTGACGTTATGTTGTTTTGCATGTCGTCGATGTGGGAGTCGGCCTCCACAGCGTGTCAATCAACTTGTGGGTCCCACTCCTAGCAAAACAAATTTCACAATATTGAACAGACTCTCGCCAGGACGGGCGTGCTAGGTTGTCGATACTGCGTATTTGCTAAGAGCTCCTCGCCATGAAGGGCTTACGAGAGCAGTTCTATGCGTCTTTTCAAGCCACGCCCAGCACCCCGAATTCGAAGTCTCCAAGCTTACAGCTGCAGTTGCTGGCTCCCACATCCTGTTGCCGCTGTCTTTCGATGCACGCACGCCATCGGGCAGCATGCCTTGTACAGTGAGGCTCTGGCGGCAAGAGCAAAATTCGCAACCTTGAACATCTCAAGTCCCGTGTGCCGTCATTCTCCCTCATGCTGAAAACTTGCTCCCTAGGCTTTTCTATGGCCGACACGGTGGGTCAGTGCATGACCACCGAGGGATGCGGGCAACATGAGGATGAAGGGCAGAATTTCCGTCCTTGCAAAGCAAGCACAAACAAACAGTGTAGTTGCTTGCAGAGTATGCTCGCCTATGTCTTCCACCTTAAGCCTTAATGCGCAAGATAAGTTCGTGCAGTATCGTGCCCTGCATGGTGTTCCACTGAATCCCGGCCCTGCTTGCGCAACTGTAGTCCTTCTAGTTTGAGATCCCCAACCGAGAGCTTGTGGTATGTTTGAGATTGACTGCCGATGCTGTATGTTCAGCTGGCCCCCTTTGCGTACAAATTGAGCGAGCGAGCACACTCTGCACACCGCTGGCGAAGAGAAGCTTTGTTCGCCTGAGAGAGATGCGACAGATGCGAAGTAGAAGCCCCTCTCTAAACCCTAAACCCAAAACCCGGTCAAAAAACCCTGTCTGAGAGCAAGGCTTGCCAAGGCCGCCCCTAGAGATCCGAATTGGTTTGGAATGGGTGTCGTTAAGAGGATAAGGTCAGAATTGCGAAACAGCAGTTCGTGAGCCATCGCGGCTTCAATGCGTCAGCACATCATACTTTATTGCCGCTGGAGCGGTGTGGTCAAACTCCTGGTGAAGGATAGAAAAGGGAAGTTCAAGGCTGTGCGTAATCCTTAGCCTGCTTCAGATTTGTTGTGCTTGTGTTTTCGGCCTGCATCAGTTCGGAGCGACCATAAGCTGGCAAGTTCTGTGCAAGGGCGTCACTTGGACTTAGACCATTAGATGCAGGTGACCTCGGATAGCGAGCTGTAGTTGAGAAGGTATTGATGCGATGCAGTGCTGCGAGGGCATGTATGCCTACAAGACCTAGGCCCCCGATCAAACCTCTTCGCGACAAATGGCCTTGTGAGGACCACTGTGAGCACACGCCTGTTAAAAGGATGAGAGTGTGTTATCAACTCAAACCCGATTCCCCAAAACTAGAACCTTGCCCCCCTTGTGGGATGCTACGAGCGAGTGGGTCCCCAACCTGCTCGGGGCGATTAGCGGCATCGTCCATTCCTTGGGTGAGGCTTCGAATGGCTCCAGACTGCTGGGCGTAGAATTAAGACAGGAACTCAGCAGCTCCTTATCAGAACAAAATTAACATGATGATGGAACATGGTCATTCCTGGTTGTAGTAGGAACAGTAAGATCAAAGCTGGCACGCATAAACTTAAACAATAGTCTTAGTTGTAGTTCAGGTGTAAGAGCAGCGAGGACTTTATGCGCCATGATGGGGAGGCCCGCTACGAGGCACTACGCACTTATAGCAGCGGCTACTCGTAGAAAACCTTCATGACGATATTGATGTGCTTCCTCCTCCAGTCATCTAGTCAGTGCCCACACCCTTGCAGTCACACTATCCATCATGGGCATGACAATCACCACCGTCATATCCGTCTTGCACGTCTGATCTACAATAGCCAATAAGATCACATTGCGTTGGGTCTTTCAACGGATTCGTGTTTGACTGAGAAGCCGTATTGTTGGAGAAATGTCAAATCTGCCCGGCAGCCTGTGAAGCCGACGCTCGTCCGCTAGAGATCACAGCCCGGAAGGACAAAGCCTGGCTGGGCCTGTGATCAAGTATCCCCTTACTCCGAGACCGTAACGGACCTGAGAGGGGCGACGCCAGCATCAGTTCACGGAGAAACAGTGGAAGGCCGATGTCACGTATGCTAGGATTTGCACGAAGGCCGTAGCAGGGACGGACAGTCCTCAAGGCTTAGTTGCATCCTAAAGCTTCGGTCGGTCACAAGGTGTTGTATGCTCCGAGCCGTTGGGAAAGTTGGCTGACCGCAGAGAGAGGAGGACCAACAGCCAGGTCTATGTGCCTGCCAATTGCCAAGTAAGCTTGGCCCTGACTCACTTTTCTTGAGGATGAAGGGGTGCAAGGCGCAGTGGGTTTTCGCATGGTTTGATTCCGGTTTGATGGAGAGAACAGATAATCACGCGGGCATAAGCTGACGGAGGGTCTCTGAATCTGAAAGTGCTTGGAAGCTGACAGGCAGGCTTAAGGTGACGAACATCCGTGAATGAGAAGTCGCGACATCTTGCCGTGCTACTCTGCACAACGACTGTTGCAGTCAATGAAGACGTTGTCGCATGGCAGATCTTGCCTGTGATGCAGTTGGCAGACTCGCTCTTCGCTTTCTGTTCATATTCTAAGATCCATGTCGGGGCTGGTAGGGTCTTGCAGGTAAGGAGCTCCGTTGTTCGGTTCCACTTCAATGGTAAGCCTCGGCTCGGCGCGTGTCTCCCCTTGCACAACTCTACGATTTTGTTTTCTATCGAGAGCCGGAACCTGGGACTTATGAATGCATGCTCAGGTGCGTCTGCCTACTGCGTGCAGGTATCGCCGGACGAAAGTATTGTTTTGGCCCTAGCCGCTTCCTGATCCATTCCCTTGCCATGATGCGGGGCAACAAGGCTGCAGTGGCAGCCGCTGGCTTCACTGCTCTGGCCTCGAGCCAGCTTTCGGCTTTTGCAGTGCCTCGTGCAGCCGACATCTCAGCTCCGGCATCGCTCCGATCGGCGGCCAGTGGCAGCACGCAGGCACAAGCCTCCCAGGGAGGTGTTCTGGGCGTGACAAGCGTGGCCTGTGCTGCCGCCGGCTTCGCAGCCTCCCGGCGCCGTGGCGTGGGCTCCTCCGCTGTCACCCGCGCCAAGGACAGTCGAGTCGCATGTGCCGCCGTTGGTGGCCAGAAGCGATGCCTTGTCATGGGCGGCACCCGCTTCATCGGTTGCTACCTCGTGGCAAAGCTCAGGGAACAGGGCTACGAAGTTGTTGCTTCTCAGTCTTTGTTGGCACGCCAAGTTTTCCTTAATTCTGACTTTGGTAACTGCCGCCCCTAAAGCCCCAAAAGCTCTGGCCGACTTTTCCACAATTTCCCACAACTAAGCTCTGCAACCGCGGCAAGACGAACGGGGGAAAGCCGGAGCGCCTTCCTGGCGTCAGCGATGCGGACTACCAGAAAATGCTTGAGGGCTCCTCCGGCCGCTCCAGCAGAGCTCTCTGATGCAGGTTCCTGTTGCTGACAGGCTAAGTTAAGGCTGCTAAGGCTTCATGTTGCCCAAATCTTTAAAAATTTGTTTAAGTGTACCTACCCACACGTATGTGAAAGGTGTATGCTAGGAGCGTCCCCTAGCACGCCCTCGTGGCTGAGGCGTTTCGGTCTTAGTCGCAGACCGCAAAGTGCCCGAGCAGCTGAAGGCTGCAGTGACTGGAGCAGGCAAGTTCGACCTTGTCTTCGACAACAATGTCCCTTGGCTTTTTGGCCTTCTTTTCGCGGTTTACTGTTGGCTGGTTCTTCGTTCAGGGCAGCTGCAAACTCCAAAGGGCTTGAGGGACATCTTCAGCTCAAGTAAGGAAGTATACTCCAAACCTTGCAAACTGCCACATGTCAATCGTGTCTAAGCTTCATTCTCAGTGTTTTCCTTTCCCAGCTCCGGCACCTCAGCTCGGCGTGGGCCGAGGTCCGCAAGCTGGCAGAGGTTCAGCCGCTGGTGGAGGCGGTGCAGGCCACTGGTGGTTGTGAGCAGCGCCTCGGATCTGATCGTGAAACAGCTCGGGGAGATTGGAATCCTAGGGCATGGAGGTATGCTGATCCTTGCCTGCCTTGAGCCGTCTGCATCGACATCGACACCCCTTAATTTTCAGGTTCTTCCTTATGAGCTCAGCCGGCGTCTACGGGCCGACGGACGTTCTTCCGCAGCCGGCCGGCACTCCTCGCATGAGGGCTTGTGATTTTTTGTTTGGCTTTGTTTTTGGGGATGGTTATGGAGTGAGGCAAAGGCAGAGGAAAGCAAAGTGCGAGACACTGCCGATCGGATCCCGTTTTGGTTCAGCGAGCGCTTTTGGGTTTTAGGGTTAGAGGGTTCAGCGGAGTTCCTTCAAACCGGCGTGCCTAGGCTGAGTGAGGAGAACCCAGGTGACCCGAACTCGCGCCACAAGGACTGTCGCGTGAAACAGACACGGGGTTGGGTTGGTGGGTCTCGGATTTCCATTCTGACAGGCTGGAGGTTGTGTATAACATGCAAAATCTCGTGCAGATGCATCTGTCAAAGGCAAGTGCACCAAGTGTCCAAGTCGAACCTGTCTCTTGGATGCAGTCGCGATATCCTAGTAGATGGGAGTATGCGGGTAGTATTCCAAACTAGGGTCCCGTTTTGGAGTGCTAACCTTCTCGCAGGAGAAGCTGCAGTGCGAGAATTACTTGGACGCCCAGGGCCTGAACTGGACATCCATTCGCCCAGTGCCTCGTGCAGACATTGCGCTGAGCCGCAACATGCGAGCCGTGCGTGTTAGTTGCAGCTAGGAGTTGTTTCAACATGCTTGCTTGTTCATTTTGTGCCATCATAAAATTAATGTCACTGTACTCCCGGCACTCCTGCTCCGAAGCTGTAGCTTCCATAGTACCGCCATCCTAGTGGTATCGGGGGGACATGGCCAGGCCTGGGAATCCCAGCTCAGTCAATGCTTTGCCTCTTGTTCTAACTTGTGAACACGGCCCCTCGTGTTACATGTCCGCATGCGAGAATGTAGACATCCCCGATGCTGATGCATGCCGGCCAAGGTGTACATCTACGGACCGCTGAACTACAATCCCGTTGAGCGCTACTTCTTCGATCGCGTCAGCCGTGGGCGCCCGGTACCTGCTCTGCATCACGAGGCTCAGTTCAGGGCTTCCCAGGGCTTACCTTTGGTCAGTAGGGAATGGAGGAATGGGGTACAATTATCACTACTATTATTATTATTACTACTACTACTACTACTACTACTACCACCATTCTTCCATTCCCTACTAAGCCAAGGAAAGAGGACAGGAAGGGAAAGCCTTGTCTTTATTAATGTTGGGGATTGCAACGGCGTATAATTACGAGCCTCGTAGGAAAGGAGGCAATTTACAAAGTCTGGAGGGCTACGAAGAGCGTCTCTCCTGGGAGACGCCGATGTGTCATGTTACGTCATTCTCTCGAGTGGGTAACCGCAGCAGCTAACGTTCAGCATACGTTTAGCTTATGCGCATCGTCGGGACGAAACCAGAGAAGATGTACCCCTGCGCAGGAACATTGGCAGAGATAGTTTCTGTTAATCCTGGAGGAACTGTATTTTTCATTGACTGACCGGCAGAGCATCCTTTATCCATTTGGCCTCACCGAGGTGTGTGTTCCGTATGATGGCAAGTACATCACGCAGCTGGGTCGCTTGCCTGACCAATTCGGGTGGGGGTGGTATAACATTCGAAGCTCGGGGTTATGCTAGGTTTTTAGTTCATGGGCGGACAACGCCATCCAATCCAACTGGCCGTTTGCAAGCTTCGTGTGTGAAGTGAGGTCACTGTGAAGATCTTGCCGACTTCATGATTAAGTGCATTGGTAATCCAGCAGTGCGAGGACAAGCACCTGGACGGCAAAGAGGTGGTGTCAGCTAGCCAAGGGGTCGTCAGGGTATCCGGTCAAAGCTATGCGGGCAAGTGTTACGTGACGGATTGACCCTCCGTCCGTCCCTCAAGTGCAGCTGAACACATGGTTGCGGGAGCGCTGGCTGCCCAGGTCCCTAAACCCTAAACCCCTAAACCCTAAACCCTTGAGGGAAAAAAAAAAGCCTTAAACCCTAAACCCCAAACCCTAAAGCCCTAAACCAACCCCTAAACCCCTAAACCCTAAACCGAGGTCTACAACGTCTCCAGCGAGGAGTATGTGACCTTTGATGGCATGGCGAAGCTGTGCGCAGAGGCGGCCGGCGTTGCCGAGCCCAAGATCGTCCACTACGACCCCAAGTCAGTGGAAGTGCCGGAAGGACCATTCGGGAGTTTCCGAAAACAGGGGACCCCTAATATGATACCCGTTAATGAGGCCCTGACTAATGACCAATGTGTTGGGAAGAGCCAAAGTGCTGTCGTCGGTACTGGGAATCCTCGTTGTGGTTTGTCCGAGAGTGAGTGCTGAAATAGAAGGATCCTTATTGTAAGGACCCCAAAATATGGTACCCCTATTATCGGAAACTCCCATTTGCTGTGGAGAACATGTACTGGTATCATGAAGATTTAGATTGGAAAAGTATGCCATGTGCTTACTATTTATATTCTTTGCCCAGGGCTCCGGTAGACTTCTGATCTAACCGCTCTGGAAATTAGGGTTGTGATGGTTCATGATGAATCTGTCTTTTCGTGATGTGAAATGCGACTGGGTCTGTCTTCATCGACCTGACAACGTTACTTACGAACATGCCACCCACCCTCGGGTCTTGTGTTTGTGAGTCTTGCGAGTCTGGTGTGCTGTCTGTTCCAAGTATGACCGATTCAACTTTGAGCTTGCCCGTCAGTCATCAGGCAGCTGTAACTTCCGCAGGTCTAAGTCCAAGACTTTGCGGCCAGGATTTCCCAAGGCGTTCCCCTTCCGTGGAATGCACTTCTTCGCGTCGATTGAGCAGCTTGGTGTTGTTGCGGTGTGCTTTTCTCGGCTCTGCTCCCTGGACCCGTTGCGCGTACCTGGCAGCCACTACTTGCCCTGTAATTCTTATTGATTCCTTTGCAGAAGGCGGGATCCCGCTGTCACGAGTGCTTTAGCTCCTCCCAGAAAAGCCTGCAAGAAGTGATCCCTTGTGACAAAGCCAAGGAAGGCGAAGCAGGATGTCCCCAACTGGGCTCCGAAGTACAACATGCTGGAGGGCCTGAGGACCTGCTCGGTTTGGTGCGGATGTATACCCAGAGGTCCCAATACCCCTTAATGAAGGAATATACCTGAAATCATAATATTAAGGCCTCTATATTTAAAGGTATATTCCTTAATTAAGGGGTATTGGGTTCTCTGGGTACCTGCAATGCTGCCTGCCCGCATGCATTGGAGCGTCTCTGCACAATCGCGGTTGCTTACATAAGCAGGGACGCAGAGACTCATCTGCATCTGCATGGAGTCATATGTTCTACCGTCACATATTCATACAACTGCATGCGGCATGCGGACATGGCGTGCTCCATGTGCACACACGTACATAAGCATCACATAATAATGCATGTGCACTTCCGGTGCATGTGCAAGTGTGGGTGTACCATCGCCGGCATGAGCACATGCGTGCGTTGTGTTTATGTTACATGCGGTATGCGTATGTATACACCGCTTGCTTTTGTCGAGTGCATGTGGATGCGTGCAGGTGCGCACCCGAACATGTTTGTTTACGTTTCCGCGTGCGCCTACTGCTTGTGTCTGAATTTTTGCCTGCCTGCTGGGTTGCTTGCCTGCATACAGACATGGCGTGTGATAGACAAGTAGGTAGAAAGATACCGTAGGTAGGTCTACGCTACATGTGTAGGGGCTTTTGTTGTCGGAAAGCTGCCCCTCCCTTCGCCTCCCTCGCCGAACCCTGGCCAACTAGGAGCCCAAGGCTTTGTTGTTCCTGCAATTGCATGTGGCTGGGGAGTAGGTTTTCGTAACTCCATCATATTTCGATTGACGGGCGGACCTACGCAGCGCACTTTCCTTCATTGTCGGTTGCGCGAGTTGGAACCTTCGGAGGAGTAGCTTCCAGCAAGATTACTTGGCACGCGGCTTCGACAAGCAGCAACCAGATCCCCGGCTTGGTTTTTCAGGGTTTCCGGCTCAGTGTGCTTGCAGGGCTTCAGGTTTTGAATCTTCGGGTTTCAGGGTTTACTGGCCTGAAGTCCGGATTTGACAGGCAGCAGGCTGGGCTTGAGGGATCGTGAGGGAATCTGCACTGCGGCAACTCCTCAAAGACAGGGTTGAGTGAGTGAGTGAGTGGCCTGGGGTGCCCTTCGGCCCAACAACGTTCCTTCATCTGTTCTCATGGGGACCGGCCAGAGTTCGACGCTCCGAGCCCCTGAATCCAAGCAGGGCCTGTAATGCCTGTAACTGGAGGCACCAGCTGCAATCAGAAGGGTGAAGAAAAGGTTTGAATATCTCCCGGTTTGTGTTTCAGTGTTCGGAGCATAGCGCATTACTAATTAGGTTGGTGCATTGCAGCGTTTCTCGATGTGTGGATTAGGCTTTCTATCATTGTGCTTGGCGGCTTGTGTGAAGGGTTACAAGGAAAGCTCAAGAGAACGAATGGACGGAGCCGTGCAAGGACTTCCGGACGGATGAGCTTATCCTGTCCAAGGCGGCATGAAATTTTCCAGCTGAAGAAAGTCGGATTTTCACAAGACCCAGCCCGGCACTGCCACCCGTTACTTCGTGAAGGTGTACTCCAAAGATAATTTACACCACCTTTGCCTCACTCGTTTTTCCTTGCAAGCTTGGGCTGACAGTCATGCATTTGGCTACGATTTGAAAAGCCGCTTAGAGGACGAAGCTCGGGACGAGATGAGATCCATGAGCTGGGATGTAGGCTTTCCTTCTGGAGCGGCAGCTGTTCAGGGAGTGAAACATTTTCTGCGTTTGAGTTCAGCATCGTTGGGCACAGGTGCTTCGTGGAACGACCTTATATTATTCAGCGCCCATGAAACATGGATCTCTGTCAGTCCCTGACAATAAGACCAACCAGAGTATTCGCGAAGAAAACGAGACGTGCCTGACCATGCCATGCTTCGAAGATGGAAGTATCGGTCGGCAGATCACTGCACAGCCAAACCACATTCAATCCAGCAGCATCAGGCGCCAAGCGCTGCGAGATTTCTGCGGATAGTTTTTCGCATGCATCTTCTACGTCTTGCCGTGTTGCCAGCAACATCTTGCAAGATGCCTCCTGCACATCGGTCGAAGCCACTGGGTCGGTGGAACTACACCGAACAGCCAAGCAGCCCTCTCTGTATGAACAGCCTCATCACTACGACACTCCTCTTTATCTGAGCAGTCGAACAAAACAAGTACCCCGAACGGATCCACAGAAGGTACGTAAGCCGAGCCGAAAAGCCGGGAGCCATGAAGCGCAGCCATCCTTCGCCCGGGGAGCCGGAGGGCGATTCCTGCTGGTCTCTGTTTGATGATGAGAACCAGGAGGAAGCTGAAGGGGTGGGCGGCGTCTGCGCATCGGAACATCCCTACTTCAAAGGCCGAACCTTCCCAAAGGAGTCATTGGAAGAGGCCTTGGAGGAGTACGTCCCGACAGCTTGTGACTTCTTGACGATGGCTGGAATGCAGGGCCGGTCCACGGCATCCTCCCTGCACAAGGCCGCCGGCCGTTTTCGTGCCAAGGACCGCGAGGGCTGTGCCGCAGCCGCGCGTGTGGCTGCAGGCGGCGCTTGGCAGCTCTTGCAGGAGACAGCTCCGTCAGAGGCCATCCTCCACACGCATGCGCTCTCTCATGCCATGCTGGCCGCCTCCCTTGCCGATCCGCTGGAAGCGATGCGGCATGCAGATCTGGCTTTGCTTTTGTGCCCAGACCTGCCAATCGGGGCACTCCATGGATTGGCGCAGGAGTGCAACCTGCGCTGCCAAGCCCAAGCGGCCCAAGCACCGAAGCCCTGCGCCGAATCACGAGCCTGGCAGATCCCAGCGGAGCTGGACCTTCGCAGCCCGAAGGTTCCACACATCTCGCAGCCCATTGAGCGTATGGGATGCCATGGGCTCTCGGTGATGTCCTTCCGGGAGTGCCTGTGGCTCCGGTTTCAGCTTACACTGCTCCTTCTGTTTGTTAGCCTTCGTCTTCTTTACTGTACTTGTCGTTTGCAGACGCCAGCAAATCCACATCAGCGGGAAAACTTGTGGATGGTATGCCAGTCTTCGTTTTATGGGGCAGCAGAGCAACTGACTCGAGGCGCATGCTGAAGCGGGCGTGCCCTGCGGTGGTGGAGGGGCACCTGTCGCAGGCACAGTGGAGTGCGCAGGGCTGGTCAGACCTGAGGCTTCCCAGCTGAGGTTCTGCCAAGAGTACTGGGGTCTTGTTAAGGAAATTATGTTAAGTTGCCATAGTAAGGATATTCAACTAAAAGTCTTAACAGGACCCAAGAGCAGTGTGGCTGTTGCCGAGGATGTCACGTATTCAGCTGCCAGAAATTTGCTGAGGTTTTGGGCTGTGCAGCACGGGCATCGCACCATACCCATCGAAATGGGCTCTTCAGAGGATGATGCAACCAGCATGGCGCTGCAGCACTCGACCGTCTCAGAAGGATGGTGATTGAAGCCAGAGATGACTTGTCGGTTCATTTGCCTCGACCTCTCGAGACTTCATCTCTGTAGACCCTGAACTCAAGCTTCGTATGGTTCATGGGGGCGGCTATTTCTTCTTGTTCTTGTCCTTCGCAGGAAGCCTCCTGGTCTCTGAGTTTGTGGACAAGTACCTTTTGCCTTCCAACGAGTCCTGCCAACGCGCTCCGGAAGAGTGGCCCAGCGAGGGCATCGACGAGTGGTCCGTGTCGCAGGTGCTCGCGAGACATCGGGGGCAGAAGAGAGCCAAGAGAGTAGTAGCACATCTCCACCTCCGCAAGTCCCTACAACCTCCCAGTTTTGACGCGTCATAGGTGGCTTACATGGCCCAGCACCAGCTGCTCATGCAGATCCCGGAGCTACGGTGCCAGATCTCCGTCCCACACTTCTGCGGCTGCGACCAATCATAGCAGATTTTGTTCTTCCTGCTTAGCGGCAGCAGTTCCAGGTTGACGACCGATGTTACTGATGTTGGCTCTTTCTGTTGTCGTTTGGTCGGGCATCCAGCCTGCATTGGTTTTTTGGACAGGTTCACTGGGCCAACTCCAAACTGTGAATGTGTGGATCGGAACCGCTGGCACAGTAACCGCGCTTCACTACGCTCCTTGATTTTGCAGCCAGTCATGGGGTAGGATGGCAGGCCATGCTACGAGATTGTTCTTTTTTGGCGACACACCGAACACCGAGGACTTGGACGATAACTTCCTCGTACAAGTTGCAGGCTTCAAGTGCCCTGGAGAAGAAATCGGCACCGGATCCACTATCACTCCCTGTAAACCTCCGGAGCCGGAAAAATGACGAGGCTCAGAATCTCCATCCCTGGCCGAGGGCGCTTTTGGAGCTGACTTAATGAGTAATATGTGCCATGAGGTACGTACGCCTCTACGCGTTTGGGGAGTCCGACAACTTGTATGCTGAGGACCGGCTGCGCCTGTGCAGGGCTAAGCGAGAAAAGCCTTGCACTCTGTGCCATGCTCTTGGCCTCCCAGCGTTGCCAGCACGGGAGCCGGGGCTGGATGTTTGGTTAGTGGCTGCATCAGTGTTGTTCTTGAAAAGTGCATGCCTCTTGCAGTAGCAGACTTCGACTAGGAACGTGCTGCTGTTTTGTAGTTGCGGTGTAGTCTGCCTCCTTCCATGTTTTGTGGGAGGATGCGCCGCGTGACCGCGGGAAGAAGCATGGCGCTTCGTTTTCGCCAGTGCGTGTGGAGTCGCCTGACCTCGAGGTCGCTCAAAACACGTGGGGAAATACGCACGATGGCGATGACATTAAGACTGTTGCTCTTGATATGTTGTTAATGGTTCTTGTTGTTGTTGAAGCTCGATATATGTTGTTGTTCCTGTTGTTCTTGCAGTCGGAGAGTTTTCGGTGGCTGGACCCGCATGACTCACGAGCTTTGATTTTTGAACGTGTAGCCATGGGTAATCAGTACCATCATTTGGAGGTCAGCATCTCCTTTTCTTAGATGATGACCGTAACGGTGAGAACATGAAGCTTGCTAGCTTGTCCCTGTTCTGCGTAATTGGTAAGCCTGGGCTTCTCCGTGACTTTTGCACTTGATGAGTGAGCATCTTGCACACTGCAAACCGTCGGAGGACGCCCCCTGACTTACGAAAGCACTTTAAGCATGAGGCATGTTGCCACGAAAGTATCTTAAGTGCAGCCAAGTCCCAGTCAGGGATATCCTTGAAACCCTCTCCACACCAGAAGAAGATCTGGTTCTGGGCTTCCCAAAGACCAAGCATCTGAGTCCATGAGTTTTTGTTAACCGTTCCTCATGGCTTGTCAAGTTTATCCTGTCAGACTTTCTTGTAGAAGAAAAATGCCTTGAAGCATCAAGCGACTTATGGCCACTCGTGGCCCATTTTCCTCTCCACTCACAGCTTGGAGAGCACGGGAGTCCCCTCATGTCCGAGCAACGAACCCCAAGCCGCAAGCCGCTCTAGCCCTACTAGTAGCCCTAAGCTTTGAAAGCCCGCCAACTCCAAATCATGCGGTTTAGGGGTGTAGGGTTTAGGAAGTCTAGTCAGCTGCCTGGCGTGACGTTGCAAGCCAGTTGCAAAAGGGAGGCTAGACTTGAGTCCAGTGGCAAAAAAGGGCAGCATCAATCCCCTGAAAGCCACAGAGCCGAAGCCTCGCCGGTCAGGCGCACCCGAACTTTGCTCGGGCGCAGTACACGGAGACGCTGCTCCGGCCTGGGGAGATGCTGCTTCCTGGCCCCGTTACCAAGAAGTGATGGTAAGTTATGCTTGTAGCCGCTTGTAAGGAGCATCACTGCCATCATGACAGTAGCAGTAAGGGTAATTAATCGCAATAGTAGCAAGACATAGTAGTTGTAGAGGCAAAAGTGCAGTGTGGTAGCCACCATCTCGGTCGTAGTTTTCATGGACAGCAGCAGGCAGAGGGTGGAAGGTGCAACACGTTGCAGTGACGTGTTCTCTGGAACGCCCTGTAGAGGTACTGCTTAAGCGATCTCTCAGCACGTTGAGCTGAATGGGTACCTAGGGAGTGCAACCATTCACATGTATTGTGCAATTAAGTGAAGCCGCCCATGTTCCTCCAGATACAAGACCCCGTAGAAATCTGGATTGAGGCAATGTGCGGAATCCTCGAGCGGGCCTAGAAGTTACCAAAGTGTGAGCTCTCAGGTTCATCCCGAAGAAATGCTGGCATTACGTGCGATCCCTCACGACCTCGATCTCTGTCAACTTTTGGTTCTGACGGGAAGCACCGATTGCGACGAAAAGGTGGTGGGTTCCGTGGTCGTTCGGGATCTGCATGGGGAACTTCTGGCTATCTGTGGCACTTGAGCGGGTCTTGGGTAGCGAGAATTGCAGACCTGAGAGATATGCTCAGAAGCTCAGAAGTTGTTTGACAGCCTGAAAGAGTGTCTGTAGCAAACGGAAGAAAGGATCGTGTGAAGGAAGGTTTCCTTGTAGAGAGGATTCGACTTTGGCTTCTCGCACCCCCAGTCACGAAGTTTCGAGGCAGACCCACCAATCTTATGCAATTTAGGTTTAATTTTTTTGTGGTTGCCGACACCTTGCGTGTTTCCAGCCACGGGCTCATGCCTTGAGGTGGAAGCCTTTGCATGTCTGGGCTGCAGACGGAGACACGAAGCATGCGCTGGCAGCTCATGACTAAGCCAAGCCCAGAAGCAGCGACCACCATGACTATGCTTCCTCGAAACCCAGTAGCTGGTTGGATGAAGCATGCACGTACTCAACGCTGCAAGAGCCAGCTTTCCAGGGCTTTGCATGCTGCACAGGCCTCCTTACACCCTCAGGATTTTGGGGCTCTTGCGAGACATGGCGCCTGGCATGTGCCGCGGCCATGCCAAGCATCGGGACTGGCGGAAGATGCAGTGCGGCGCAAGAAATTCGTGGGTGCCAGTCGCTGGCCGCCGAAAGGTGCCCTTGCAAGCCTTGCAAACGGTCTTAGGGATTAGGGTTTAAGGTTTAGGGTTTAGGGCCGAAGCTACCATGTTCTGCTTGTTCTGACAGATGGTTCGTGTGAGTGAGTAGCCGAGGCAGGTGCTCAGAGAAGTCACCAAGCAACTGTCCAAGTTGGGCAAGAACCAATGGCGCTTTCGCGAGTTTCAGTCGCTTTACCGTTTTGCGCATATGGGTTAGTAGGACGTGACGTCTACCGCTGCAAAGCTGCGTGTAATGTAGGGGCCTCGACATTTAGAATAGGGTTTTGGGGTACGTTATAGAAATAGTAGTCATGATAATCAGGAACCCCCAAATGAGTTCAGGTAATTTTTTTCGGCCCCTATAGTAGATTGTGCAGAGGCGAGAGGTGTCACTCCAGTTCCGGCGGCTTGCGGAGCAAAGCCTCCAGCCAGATGCTTTCGTGTACAACACGGCCATAATCGCTTATGGCAGAGGTGGCTTGTTCAAACTGCAGGCAGATATGAGAGATCAGCATGGCGGCATTTTTTGGCTCCCTCGAGCCTCCAGGACGGGTCCCGACCGCTCTTGGCGTCGCTTACTCAGGAGTTGGTCTCACAGTCTTACCAAGCTCAGGCCACGAGTGGCAAGCATCCATACACATGCTGGCCGACATGGGCAGCGAGGCAGGCCATGCACATGAAGTCTTAAACTGTTTCAGTTTCGGACCCTAAAATGACACCACCGAAGACCTCAAGATCCCAAGCAGTTGAAGCCAAACCAGAGCAATACCTGGTTTTGACCTCTTGAGCCCACATGGCGGGAGACATGCATCGAACATGGTGGTATTGACCACCTACCCACAGCACAAAATGTCGGCACTCATATTGACAAGAACGTATTAGAGCAGCTTGGCCTTGTTCAATATCTTCTTGTTCGAGGGGTTTGCTCATCTGTTTTGTGGCGCAATCTAGTCTCTTTGGACGGTTTGCTTGATCTCCATTTCAGCATCGTCTTTCGGGCGGAGTGTGGGCTTTTCTCAAACTCTTCAATCATGTTGCAGCATGTCTTGAGAATTTTTAGCAAGTGTCGATCGGCTTGTTGTGTTTGCCCAAGTCATCTGGAATCGCCCAAAAGCTTGCTACTTTGTCTCAGATTCGCCAAGGTCTGTTTCGAGTGTTTTCCATCTTTTTGCACAGTCTCTTTTGCCCTTTCGAGCTGGTTCTGGTTCTTCTGGTTGTTTTGTCCAAAATACTGCCTCTGTGAGCTTTCTCCGTCTTCTCAACTTGACTCAGTGCTCTCATTTGGATTCCCCTCGTTCTTAACCTGTCTAGTCTCTTTCGGGCGGTGTGCTCCGTTTCTGATCTCTTTCAAGCTTTCTAGTATCAGTCGAACGGTTTGGCCGCCCTGTCTCAAAGTATCCTTTGGTATGCTTTGGTGTCAAACCTCTTAGTATCTTTCGTCGAGCGAGTGGCTCCATTAAAGACTTGAAAATAGCATGAAAAATCTCTATTCCCGCTCGGCTGGTAAATTCGCTTATCTCCTTCGGGTGGTTTGCTCCTGGCTCTGAAATCATATTGTCCCTTTCCCCTTGGTTTGCTAGAGTGTGCAGCTCTCTCCAGTCGCTCTCCAGCGGTTGGCTCCTGTTTCTCATTTTCTACTCCAGTTCGGCTGGTTTGTCCTTCTTTCTCAGATTGCTGGTTTCTTGCTCTCAAATTTTCGAGCCGCCATTCGATTTTGCTTCCCTGCCGACATTTCTCTCCGGCATTGGAAGAAGGCAGACCCCGGGGAGACAAGCATTGAGCATCAACCGCTCCGACGGTGGCTGCCCACCAACAGCCCAACAGCCGGGCATTCTTTCGTTCGCATGGACAAAAGCCCTTACAGCAAAAGCAAAAGGGAAAAAACTGTGGGTGTTTGGAAAAGAAAGGACGCCCAGAAGCATGTCAGAACCGGTTGGAGGCTCTGGAGCGGAATGCCATCAGCTATGCTGCAGCACTTGGAAGCTCGGCTGCACTTCATGCGCCACATATGTCATCGTCGCCGTCAGAAGCCATCGTCTAGCTTTGAAACGAGGCGCATGCGCCAAGGCGAAGCAATGGGTGGTTGCCACACAGGTGCTTCGCCGCTTGGCCTTGGATCCAGTTGCGAGCCTTATCCCATGGTTGATTCTGTTTTGATTCACGACCTTCGGTTTACGGAACTTGGCCGCAGAACCGGGTCGCGCGCGAAGGCCCGGCTCCGGCTAGTCTGAGGCAAGTTAGAGGACACGAGCACAAAACGCAAAAGCAGAATTCAGGTGCACCCAAGGCCCATTGAGCCCGGTGCATTCTGGCGGATGCAGGCATCCGCAGGAGGGAGGGGGAGACGGAGATTGCGTTGAGGATTCTTCCTTTTGCCGCCCTTCCCAAACGGGGCGGTCTTGGGGAGCCTTGGGGGCTTAATCTCAAGAGAAACAACGGGGGAGAGGACGAGGGGCAGGGAGGGAGCGAAAGACAGAAAGAACAGGCTTCGCACCCCACAAGCCCACCCGAGAGAGATGAAGAACAAGAGAGGCCGAGCACCCGAGGGACAGGCCGCGAGGGAGACTTTAAAACCTGAGCATCGCGAGACGCAAAGAGGGACCAGGCACCAACAAACACTAGCTGCCTCAGACCTCAGCCTGGAGGGCCGACTCAAGTGGGAGTTTCCAAAAATGAGGGGTACCTTATCTTGGGGCCCTTACAATAAGGATCATACTATTTAGGATACAATATTAGGGTCCCCTAATTTCGGAAACTCCCAAGTGCAAGTGTGAATGGCATACCTCCCTGATGGACGGAACGAAATGACGAGAAGCAGTCAAGCCAGTCGGGGCAGGAGTAGTCCGGCAGTAGTAGTAGTCGTAGTAGTAGTAGTAGTAGTAGTAGTAGTAGTAGTAGTAGTAGAAGTAGTAGTAGTAGTAGTAGTAGTAGTAGTAGTAGTAGTAGTAGTAGTAGTAGTAGTAGTAGTAGTAGTAGTAGTAGTAGTAGTAGCAGTAGCAGTAGCAGTAGCAGTAGCAGTAGCAGTAGTAGTAGTAGTAGCAGTAGTAGTAGCAGCAGCAGCAGTAGTAGTAGTAGTAGTATCGTAGTCGTCGCAGTGGCGGTAACAGTAGCAGGAGCAGTAGCAGTACTGGTAGTTTCATAGCACTAGGACCAGCAATGGCACCGGCACCAGCACCAGCACCCGCACCAGCACGAGCATCATAACCAATAGCGCATCGTAGCAATGGTAGAAGCGCGGTCAACACTGGTGTCCAAGCTGATAATCGCACCACTAGCAAGCACAACATGCGTCGTTGTTCTTCCATTCAGCGCCTTCCCCGATGGCTCAGGAAGTATGCAATCGGCCAGCCACCGCCCAGACGTCCGGAGCTACAGCGATGTCCGGTCCTGAGGGCTCATCCTTCATTGATGTGAAGGAATAGACGATACTAAGATACTAAGTTCGGCGAGATATCGTTTTTCCTCCTCCCTCTGTTCCCTGTGGTGGCTGGTGAGCTGCTTTGTCCATCCACAGCATCTTCGCTCCGTCTAATGTTTGGGTCACGGCTTCCAAGCTTCGTGTTTGGAGTTGGCACGGTTGGCGCCCAAGAGGATTGAGGGCAGCAAGTCTTTGCAGTCTTTTAGCGATGTCGAGGCTGTGAGTGTTTTGACCGTCGAAGGTCATTGGCGCAGCCGCCAAGAAGCAAGAGTGGGCACTGGCGCTGAGGATCCTGTCTGACATGCCGGAGGCCAGGGCCAGCGACCCTCCGGTGCAGTCCTCTGGAGATATCCGACTGGTTGAACTGTATGACATGTACGAGTGTCGTTAAGACCTCCATAGTTCAAAATAAGGCACAACTTCAAGCCATGCAGGCTGCAATGGACAAGTTCAAGTGGTTCTGTGTGCTTCCAACCTTGTCCTCTGGTTGTGCATTCGGCTGACCATGCTGTGCATTCTGCAAAGACCGGCGCATGTCAGTGTGGACACAGTCTGCCGATCCTGCTCTGCCATCACAGGAATCGTGCCTGCCAGACCTCTTCGCCTTCAGCTTGGCCCTTTCGGCTTGCGCCAGCGATCAGTGGGCGTTTGCATTGGAGGCATTCTGGCAAAGACCCCCTCAACGATACTTGTGGAAAGGGCGACACTCGTCCGTCTTTGGGCTTTGGGCGTGAAGAGGTGTGCATAAACCGGGGGGAGCGCTTTCAAACGTGTCTACCTATTCCAATGTGTGGAACCTGAACCATCCAGCACATGGAGCCAAAGATGCACCCAGTGGCAGGTGCTGAGACAGATTCATTCGCAAGGCCTCGTGCCGAACGACGTCGTGCTGCGAGCTCAGCTCAGAAGCTTAGGATCGCACGACAGGCGCTGACAAGCCGGCGAGAGGCCTGAGAGAGTTCTGCAACAACAGCAATCCGAGGTTCAGCAACGTGATGAGTACTTTTGCAACTGCGGGTCAATGGCAGCACGCTGTGGAGAGCTTTGCCCAGATGTGCGATGCGGTGGCCCGCCCTTGAAGCCTCTTTCGCGTTGGATCTGGGGTTTGCTGTTGACTGTTTGGCGTGCAGCTATGCCAGCCATGCCGCAAGCAGCTGACACACAACGGTTGGAGTTGGTGCATGGGGCTCACGCCTCTGCTCCCAAGCCCATGTGCAGTTTTGCATGAGGGATAGCAATGGTCCTAAAGTCCTAAAGGTCCCCAGGCCGGGCTCCAACCCCAAAGCTTCAATTCTCTGCGCAAGCCAGGCCCTGCTGCCGGACCTGGTAGCATACAGCACAGCGATCAGTGCTGCAGGGGCACGGTGGCAGTGTGCCTTGGCTGTATGGTCGGGTGTTCCGCTTCTACAAAGACTTGCAGGGAGCAGGCGGGGCATCGCAGAGCACTTTGACATAGCTACGAGCAGTCACAAGCCAGCCAGGCAGGTGCTAAGTCAAGCCAATCGGTGCCCGCAGACCGTAGTACGTCAGGTGCGCTGGCATTGTACCAACAGATGTCGGAGCAGGAAGTGCAAGCAGATGCTCCTCAGTCGCAGCTTGACGACTTGCTGCGTCGAACTTGGGGTGGCAGGACATCCACAGGCCCGAAGTAAGTGGGAAACTAGGGTAATCATCTCCAGACAACCAAGCTAATAGTTCTAATATTTTGCCTCAGAGGTGATTATCTTCAACACGGTGATGCAGTCTTTGGCGGAGGGGCAGCGCTGGCAACTTGCTCTCGGGTCTCTTGGCACGAAAATGTGGCACATTTTGGCAATCGTGCAAAATAATGGCATAGATCCTCTCTTCGAAAAATGCGAGATTTTGCGTCGAATGTGCTTGTCAGGATTTGGCTTCAAGCGGCATGATCCTTAAGCCTGTGCTTGTCGCATCGTGCTCAGGCAGCTGGCGGCACTGTGCGATTCTGGGCTGCAGTGCCTGGGATGGCAGGCTCAAGATTCAGAGTTTTTCGAGCATCTGAGTGTTGATATCGTTCTCTGACTCAGCCATTATCGGCCCAGATTTCCCAAACGGTAACGTTTTCTACATCCACGCGGAACACTGCAACCCATGAACGTTGAAGATTTCATGAGCCGTTTTGATGATGGAAGTCATTATTACGCGACTTGCTTCCAAAAAGGTCCGGCTGAGTACATGAATATGTACTAGGTGCACTTTGGGTATATCAGTATACACAGGTATATGTATGTGCACATGCAAATATACGGACATATACACATGTGTTGCGCGCACATGCACATGCGCATGTGTGCGAGTTCGGGAGCAAAGCTTCTTCCACTGGTAGGGGTTCAGTTGTAGGTTGGGATGGGTGTGCCCGAGGGGCTTTGAGAACATCATGTGGCGTCTCAGTAGGAGCTTGCATCTACGAACGAGGCCTACCTTGGTAAGCTTCAACACCGCCATCAGCGCTTGCGGCCGCTGCGGCCGCTGGCAATCTGCCACGGAGGTTTTCGCGGCCCTGCGACAGCGGCATTTCGTGACATGGCTGGAATACCCTGAACTACACAGTAGAGTCACCCGGGACCCAGGAATCGGGATGAAGTTGTGACGGAACAACGTGAAAGAAAGGGCAACTTACTTGTCCAGATGGCCGAAGAATTCTTCTTGGCCTCGGAAAGGCAGCAGATGCCGTGACCTACAACAGCCTTCTCAGCGACCCCTGGCTGCAAGCCTTAGACACGCCATGAACAGCTCGTGCTGCAGTTTGAATGTCGCAGAGCTTGTGTTAAGTAGCTACTGCCCTCTTTCCATAAATACCAATCAGCCCGGGTGTTGGGCACAATCGGCATGAGCAACCGGGAAGAGCCATCTGCGGTGTAATGTTTCGGCTCGACTGCATGTCTCTATGTTGCTGAGGCACTCGAGCGGCACGGCCTCTGGGCCGTGGCACTGTCCCTGGTTCAAGACATGCGCCTCAGCTCTGAAAGCGAGGCCTCATGCAGTCCTCGAGTCGAGGAGTAGGTTGGAATTTCCAACAGCCTACATACTGTTGATGGACAAAATCCTGCATGACCCTAAGGACTCTAAACTATGGGGATTATGGTATATTCCTGATTCTGGGTAGTGCAGGATTTTGTCCATCAGCAGTATCACGCGATACAGTGTCCAATCTAGTTACCTAGGTACCTTCTCGGGATTTGGAATATGCTCGGGGTGTTCGCCACCTGCCCCTTCCAGCCAGAGGCAGCGGAACTTTGTCCGTGCTGATGTGATCACGTTCAATTCGCTCGTGAGCTCCAGCGGGCGATGTGGCTTGATTGCCTTGGCTCAGCAGTGTCAGGAAAGAACCATTAGTTCCAACGGACGTGACCTGCTTCGTTCATTCAGTTGAGCATTGAGGGGCTTGGCAGCTTGGAGCTGTGAATGATGCGAGCAACCTCGGCTGTGCTTTGCAGTGATGAGGTGGCGACTGGCAACGATCTCTCTACGTTTTGGCGCTGATGGAGTCCAGTTCTGTGCAGCCGGATGAGTGTCTCGGCTGCAGCAGGCAGGGCAAGCCTGACAGGATCCAGCACTTGCAGTTGCAAGGGCCGCCTGTGTTCTTGCTATTGTGATGAATCGCTAATTATTTGTTCGAGATTTTCACCCCTCGGATGGAAGACGTGCAGCAATTGCGGATGCTCGTCACAGCTTCGTTTTGAGCACCGCTCTGCTTCCGTCATTGATGCATCCGTTTATTGGGAGGATTACCTTCGCGGCAGCTATAAGCTCTTGCGAAAGAGGCGGGGCCTGGTGCAACCCCTAAACCCTAAACCCTACCTTGAGCTTCGGTCGTGACCGTTTCCTACGGCTCACGGCTTCGGCAGGCATGCAGTGGCAACGGGCAATACTGCTTCTTGAGGGCATGTCGGCTGAGGCCGGGCAATAACGTCTCGTGTCGGTTTTCTTGTGAGGCTTGCTGAGTTCTCTCGGAGGTGTTCAGCTATCGATGTCAAGATCTTCTGCCCCTGCACTTGTCAACTACTGTGACCATATCAACATCACTCGTGGAAGCAGGAAAGCCTAGTATAGCGGCTAGCCCCGCTGTAGTACTTCTAGGGCAGTCGTAAGTCTGCCGGGATTTAATTCAAGTCACCAGAATACATCGCGAGGACAAAAGTTTTGACCTACTGGATGTGTCTTGCCCTAAGACGTCTTGCTTGCGGAGTAGCGGGGTACCGAAAAGTGCGATTTACGTGGCCTGGCCAGCGGAGTAGTTCCCCAAACAGCGAGGTTTTGGGGTTCTCAATTTGAGCAAGGCAAGGGATAGCGTGACGCGCCTTGCCGGGGACTAGCCGGATTTGTCTCCCTTCATAATCTCAATTTAAACTGTCGTCTCAGCTCTGTCTGAGTCAGGGAGCCGGATGCTGTGACGCGCCTCGCCGGGGGTAGCCGGATTTGTCTCCCTTCATAATCTCAATTTATACTGTTGTTTGTTATCTGGGAGAACTTGCTGGCACACCCTAATTCCTTTCAAAACTAAAGCTTGACTCCAGGCCCGAAATCCCTAACTCTGAACTTTAACCCTCAATCCTAAACTGTTATCTCCG